GTACTTTCTATAAATGCCTCTAGTAATTAACATAATGTATATTTTTTTATTTACGGAAATGTAATGTTACATTTGATATATCCACATAACCAACTATGATGTTGCACAATAGCTCAAAAATGGAAGAAATTTTCTATGATAAAATTCCACTGCCTAGAAACCGCTTATAAAGGCAGTGACCCGTAAACCGCATTCGTGTGACGGATTCACTTCAAACGCTGATTGAAAGGTTTTTGCTACAAAAGAACTTTAGCATTACTAGAAAGCTGTGTAATTATGAAACCTCGCTAATAATGAAATATTAAGAAAATGATAGATATGAGACTTTGATTTTCACTTATTTTTACTTGTCTATTATATATTGGTGAAGATGAATATAAATATAGTATTATATTCAGCCCTTTTTAACTTCCCACTGCCGGGCACGGGCCTCCCTTCACTATGAGGGGAATCTGGCCATAGTCCACCACGCTGGTCAAGTGCGGGTTGGCGGACTTTACATGCCTTTCGTAAACTTTCAAAAAGGTTCATTATGTTAGAAATGATTCGTACATGTAAATATCAGAAGTGCGAAATTTGAACCCGCTTCACGCGGTTTCCCAATCGACCGCGTTACCACTGGGCTACCACTGCCTATACATAAATATAGAAATGGTTAAAAATACTTTGTATTGAGAATGGTCTTATTAATATAATTATGTTAAAATGAGAGACTTAGCTTTTACTCTCCGTACTAATTTTAGATATAACTAATATTCTTATATTACAAAAAAAAAACATATTAGTTACACTTTAATATCTATAAAGATGTTTTTTTAGACTTTACTTAGTGCATGTTAAGAAAAATCAAAATTATATTATTTGACAATGCAGCAGAGGTTTTCTTCTATGAAATTTTGAGTTTAATACAATTTTTTCGATATACGTTCAGTTCAGTGCTTATGAATGTAAGCTTAATCGAAAATATCCGGCACAGTACCAAGAAAGTTACAATTTTGCACGTGGCGCATGTTCTTTGAACTCTGAAGTCAAACGTCTTAAAAAACTTTTTCTTTTTCCTAAAAAAATCACTTCGGCTTACATCTCTATCATTTAAATCTATTATTAACTACTAGCAGAACCCGCCGCTTCGCTTGCGCTAAAACTACAAAAAATATCTAAAAAGGTAGTTTCATACTAAATTTCATCCTTTATTTTACCCCCTTATAGAAAAATGCTAAAACACGTATTTATTTAATTTTATTGAAGAGCATTAATACCAAGTTTCAAGTAATTCTGATCATAAATATTTTTTTGGATTGTATTATAAGTTATAACGTGATTTAGATAATGCGATGCGATTTAGATGATCGGTAAAAGTAACCTATCTCACTCTCCAGCAATCCAACTATCTCCACACAAAAAATCACGCCAATCCGTCGATCCGTTTCGACGGGAAAGGACAAACAAACAAAAAAAACAAACAGACTTTCACATTTATAATATTAAGAATGGACTATACAACAAAGGAGATAAGTTTTCAAGGGTGGAATAGTTACATTGAATTCATTGCACATAAGACGAAAATTAGATTATTAAGTGCCAATTTATAGTTATCCATATCGATAAATAAAAATGAATGATCTTTTGTATGTTTGTATTCTATGCATTCTTTAACTCATCCTATATACCCAAGTATATTGTACATGGCATGTAGTACACACTAGTGGCCACAATATTGATTTTCATACTGTGTTTAAAATTATAATTATACAAATTGTAGAACCCGCTTTATACCAATAGTTCAGAAAAAGAAATGACATAAATCTAAGAAAATATAATGAGAACTAGCTCAATGGTGTTAAATTATTACACTGCCATTCGGATTTCACATAATAACAAAGTTCCAAATCGACACGACAAAGTTTCCGAAGAAGCGAACAAAGGATACAGCTTGATTAAGGCACTCTGCGGTCCTATATAGGTTTTAGTTTAGAATAGATGTTGCGAAAATTTAAATTACTTTAGTTATTTATAAAAGAATTTTGTTTATTTGCTGTTCGATTGTGTATTTTAAAATAAGTCCCCTTTTACAACCAAGTCTAAAAACAATTTCAAAGAAAATGTAGCGCACCCTCGAGTCAAACAAATACTTGAATAAAAGTTAAGAATTTATCTTTTTAATTAATTTCTCTTAGAATTAAGTAACTTAGAGTGAATCTTATAATAAAAAAAAATATTTACAAAAATAAAAAATTGAGACTGCGTCAAAAGCGAACTAAAAAGAAGAGAATAAGTTCACAAAGAAACATTAAAAGTATTATGCAGTCGGAGACATACACACGCAGCTACTTTTACAACGAACTACCTTCCTATATCAGACGTACATATTCAATGCTCCCGGGCTGGTGCATTTTTCGCCTAAAGAATCGGCATTGCCATTCAACGGGGGAATGCGGCTAGCATTCTTGCCACTATTCTACGCGGACATGACTTGTACAGTACAGTACACTAAGTGTACATTTGTTTTGTATATATAATTAAGTATATTTGTAATTTTCTTTACTGTAAATAAATTATTTATATATATTCTCATATTTATCTACATTAAATTACACGTTATAATAAGGTAAGTTAATGAAAACAAAAAAAGAAAAATTAACTTATCAAATTAAAAAGGTTCTTATTTTAATCTATTTCTTATGGGCTTGTAGCATCTTTTAAATTAAGTACATAACACATGCTTTGCTTATATTATAAATATAAAAGTAACTCTGTCTAGTCTGTTACCTTTTCACAGTAAAACCACTTAACAGATTTCGATGACATTTAGAAAGGACATAGAATGCATCATAAGGAGTCCTATCCTGCTTAATATGCGGTGAAACTGCGGGCAAAGACCAGTGTAACATAATAATAACTTTTATGGAAAACTTGCTTTAGAAATACTTACTGATATTATAAAGCCAAAAGGCTCAAGAAAAAACATTCTAGCTGTATGTCACATGTTCACGATCTGTGATTCTCTCTCTCTCTCTCTCTCTCTCTCTCTCTCTCGCTCTCTGTTTTTTTATCTCTAAATTAATTTCGAAATTCTTATTGGAAAAAAGATTGCCTTCTAGAAATAAACAAACTACATTTTTATCCCGAATTCCCACGGGATTTCAGCTTTTAACTTCGTATGAAATATGCGTTATTATACCGAAATAAACTCAGCTAACTAGACATTTTACTTGATTATTTCTTAATAATGGCAATATTGATGATACCATCAATTCCCGAAGGATATTTTGGAAATAATTGTATCAGCTACTATATACTAAAAGAAAATTGGTACGATTAGATATAACTATATTACTATTTTTTTATGTTTTAAAACTGATAATTAAAGGAGCTTAACAAGAAAATAAGATATTATTATTAAAGTACGTAAAGTAAGTATTCTTACATAAGAAAACAAAATTACAAAGTACACAGAAGCTTTAAATACCTTATTTTGCGAGGAGAATTCGACAAGAATTTCAATCACTTTTATATACAGGAATTTTTATACCAAGTATCATCAGGAAACCAAATTCTATTTTTTTTTATTTATTGATTGGAATGATAGAATAATTACATTTAAAGTATTTTTAGTTTTTTTTTTCAAAAATCATGAAAATATGCAATATACAAAAATGGCCTAACCCACATTTATTTTTGAAAAATAGTTATAAAACGTCTATAACTTTAGTTCAAAAGAAAATAAACTAAAAATGCAAAAAAGCCACAGAAACTCAAGCTCTAAACGAAAATCTATAAATAAGTTTTAAAATATACGAAAATATTTGACAGTCTTTTTTCTTCAAGTGGCATACTAGGATGTTCTATGTAACTAATTAGGAATATTTAAAAAAAATTCTTATTTAATTTTTTTTTCATATTTCTTTATTTCATCAAGGCAACTTTTACTTAGATGTAAATTACTGACATTTGATTTGCTTATCATTTAACTAATACCTATATCAACAATATCCATCCATATTACAAAAATTGAGAAAAATAAAAACACCTGAAGAAAATGAACGGACTATTTTAGTTAACATAATATTGTTCGATTATTTAATCTAACAAAAAAAACGCTTAACATTTCATTGAGAGTCTAATATGTATTATATACGTATTAATAAACGTTGAACAAAATTGCTTCTCTTGATATTACTTGAATTCTGCGAAGACTTGAGTGAATGAATGATTGAGTTAAAGCAATAAAGCTGTTATTAAATTATTATTTGACGACAACTTTGGCTCTGTTTATTGGTACCCTACTTGCGGTGCCAGCGGTCGCGGGTTCGAGTTCCGCTGGGGGAATTCATTTGTGTGATGAGCACTAATGTTTGTACTCCAGTCATGGGTTTTATATTTGTAATATGTATGTATTTAAAGTTATATATGTGTGGTGTACCAACAATCTGGTATCCATGACACAGGCCTCGTAGCTTACCATGGAACTAGATAGTACTTACTTTGTGTTAATGTGATATGTATTTATATAATGTTAATTTTATTTTAATGTGAAGTCAACTTGTAACCCAACTTAACTTTAAATCAATACAACAAACTTTTAAATTTTAATAATTACTCTATAAAAAAACTTCTTTACATACACTATATTATTATTATATATTTTATTTTTAAAAATATTATAAATACACATACATATACATGATTTCCCGTGAATCGGTACGTCTGCTGTCATATTAGATAAATTTATGTATTTCCTTATAATAACATTTCTTTTTGCATCGTTAACAAAATTGTGTTCATTAGCAAAAATACTGAATTAAACCGAACAAAATTGTGACAACTAACTCTAATTTTCTCCAACAAACATCACAAAAGCTATATTTCTATCTAATTCAGGAATGAATAAAATTAATGAGTTTTATGAAAATATTAATATGTATTTCTTAAAAAGAAATTATCATTAATTTACGACGACACTATTACAGTACATGTCAACAATAAAACAACAACAATCAGTGTTCCAAACATTCTTCAGCTTGTCTCACTTGCTGGTAGAGAACTTCGCTATTGCTCCTACACTCTTTCTTCGCTTCCGCCGCGTCCCCAAACTGATATCTCTTAGACATGAAGTGAAATATCGCGACCGATACAAACATCATGCCAGTGTATATAAATGATTGAGTTTCCTAAAAATATTATTTGGTTATATTTAACGTTTAGTATATATTTCTCAGAAATAAGGTATTTTCCCGCAGTAAAAAGTATCCTATACGTTGACCCGGATAACTAAGTAGCTATCATCAAAATCTGTCCAGTGGTTTTCTCGTGATGCGTTGCCAGACAGCCAAATAGACAGACAAAAATTCTAAAATCTATAGATTCGGCCTCTGAATCGATAATAATGACTATTTCAATAAGATTTTCCAAAAATATTATGTAAAAAATCGAATTATTTGACGTTTTTTATTATATGTATAGATAGATATACAGCAGAACCTTTTGGTAAATTTTAGTACCGAGATGTAATGTTATTCCAGTTTGTACAATATCTGTGTACCAAATTTCATCCAAATTCGTCTAGCCATTTCTGAGTTAAAGAGTAACAAACATACACATTACACATAAAAATTCATAAATATAGTCTCAGCTTAATACCTAATCACAATAATTAATAATACATAATAATATTAATATAATAATAATACAATAATAATTATACTAAATACCTAACACACATCACAGACAGAATCAGTAGTTAGAATAAAATATATTGAAATAATAACAAAAAAGTTTTAACTCACTTGCTTATAATTAATGAAGATTCTAGTGACAACGATTATGATAACGTTGCCGGCCGCTTCTGTCATGAGCCATACAGCTGACATAACGGCTTTCATACTCTCCGGCGCTTCTTTAAACGCGAACTCGTTACCCGTTACCGCAAATAACACCTGTACAAATTGTTAATTAAACTGTTAATTTTAATGAAAATCGCGAACTTTTAATTTTTTTAATAATACACATATGTTCAATTTTTATTTAATACTAGTGACTCACCCACGCTCTGCTCGGGTTCGTCCCTATTGTACGTTTTAACGGGTAGTATAGATTTCTCAGAAATAAGATATTTTTCTGCAGTAAAAAGTATCCTATATGTTTAACTCAGAATCATTAACAACAATCATTATACCACATTTCATGAAAATTCTCAGAATCTGTCGAGTGGTTTTCTCGTGATGCGTTCCCAGACAAACAGACAAAAATTCTAAAAACTATAAATTAATGCACAGATTCGATTCAGTTAGAATTTTATTATGTGTATAGGTGAAATGATATCATTAATAACAAATTAATGGCTTTTTTTACTAAATTTCGTGATTCTACTATCAATTCAAAAAACCTATCTCAATCTTGAGAAAAACTTATAAATGGATCTCAGAAGAACTAAAATCTTGTTTAGCTTCACTACACGGTATAAATTAAAGGTGACTTTGTGATTATTCGGGCTAATCTCAAAAACTACTGTACGGATTTTTATATGATTTCACTAATACAAAGAGGGATTATCTTGGAAGGTATAACCTGAAAAATAATTTACCGGTATGATGATATCTGTAAATTAAGTTAGAAAAAATCTCTTCTAGGGGTGCATCCGAACGGAGCGAGCCAATACTAGCGTCTCACCCTCTCTTCCCTCGGGTTCTTCCCTATGTACGTTTTAACGATTAGTAAGGAATAGATAGACTATGTACGAGTATATATTATATTATTAGTATTATATTAATCTTAAAGTTCCGTTCATAATTATAAAGTAGTAGTAAGGGAAAAGAAAAATGTGATTTTACGTTTTTCCGCAAAATATTTCCAATTTTTCTATTCATAAAAATCTTCCCGAACGAATAAAAAAAATTGCCGAATTGGTCCAGCCGTGCTCGATTTTCTTCCTTTTTATACATAAGACGATTATAAATTACAATATTCATCGACCATGAAATAATACAAGAGACTAGAGACAATTAAATCGATCTTCGAGCTTGCACATCAATACTAGCACAATAGTAGATGCTTAATACGATTGTTCCCATTCAGGGATCGAATCCTCAACATGTTATACACTATGTAGTAACAATCGGACATATCGCATGATTTCACGTCCTTTATTTTGTGCTACTGGTCTCTTTATAAATGACCTAAATTAAAATTCGTAAAAATTCCCTGTTGAAATACTGTTAAAATGCCCAAAAAACATATATAAACATTTTATTATTATAGTACAAAATATTGAGAAGGGTGTAGAAACCTAACGAAATCATACAGCTGAGTAAGTCATGTAAATCTTATGGGTTTAATGCAAATGAATGTTTACCCAACTTGTTTTTCTTTGTAAACATGATTATAATATACATACCTATATACTTCTGAAGTCGGTAAAATAATTAAAATATATTACCTATTTTTAACAGAGTGCGACAAAGACCAACGGTGGCCTATGTTCAAATTTATGTTCCCACATAATTACTAAACGGCTAAACCGATATTGATCATAACATCATAACATTAGCCTTATAAAAAATACCAAACTTATAAAAAATCAAAATAGCGGATGTTAAGCGCGGGAGTCTTGAAAAACACATACATATTCTCTTTTGTAATGTATAGAATTCATTTATAAATATGTTTTAATGTACCAACATAAGGCGAACTCATAAACGGAACGACATAAAAGGTTCTAAGAAAATATATATTGTCATACAAAAGTACTTGTGAGGAAATTCAAACGCTCCTTTTATTTATAAGGAAATATTTTAACCTGCTAATAAACTATATGTAGGTATATGTACATTATTTTTCGGACAAAGGCTTGACATAGCACTATAGTGAGGAATGCAACTAGCATTCTTGCCGTAGTTAAATATACGCTACATTACTTTTATCTACATAGTAGGCTATAAAGTGTACCAGTATTAAGAAGTTTTAAACTAGAAACTAGAAACCCACTCAACTTTCACAGTTTTAACGACATGTTTCCTGAAAACAAAAGACAATATTAAGGAATATTCCTAATAATATTTTAACGAACTAAAACAAGACAAAGCTTAAATGAAGCTTGTCATCTAAAGATACGCCTAAAGCTCCTTATTCTATATTCTTTAGGCTCGATATAAAGCGGCTTTTAAATTAATTGATTGTATTGAAAAAGCATCTTAATCCGTTCCGATGACATTTTCCTCTTTTGGTGTGACATTTTCATGCTCTCTTACTTAGTCATTTATAGAAATGGTAATCTTTGAAAATAGAATGCGATTTAATCCTGAGAAATAACTGAAGTGAAAATAAAATAATTAATAGTTCAATTCAATTCAATTGAGCACAAAAATTAATTGTTATTGCATGGTTACAGACATATGTAAATAACGATGCAAATAAAAACTAGCAGCACTATAAAAATTTTGCAACTTATACTAATTTTATAAATGAGAAAGTACCTCTATCTGTCTGTCTGTTACGACTTAGACAAAACAAGCATAGACCATCTTTTAACCCCACCCCATGTAAACGGATCAGCAGGCAGTCACTAGTTTCATATTAAATTACAAAGACAAATATATATCGTAAGTTTAGTTCAGAAATCCCAATTTATAAGACTTTACAAGTTCAACTTCATTTAATTCACTGAAACACCCTATCATCTGTCTCGTTCCTACATACGGGAACATTTCAAACAAGGCATGTACGACATATCTCTTGATAGGCGCTTTAGCGAAGCATTAAGTCGGGTAATGTCTGCCCCGGATTATGTTAACTTGCTTCTCTTAGTAAACCATATTTTGCTCTAAACTCCCTTGTTTATGGTGTGTTGTAGATTTTTATTTGGACAATAATTGGCTTGTTAAATGTAATGTAAATATCTATACATATAAGAAAATCCTGAGTCAAATCTGTACATTAAATATTTTTTTGGAAATTCTTATTGAAACAGTCATTATTATCGAATATCATACAGAGGCCGAATCTATGGGTTTTTGGAATTTTGTGTTATTTCCGTATGTATGGGAACGCATCACGAGAAAACCACTGGACAGATTTTGATGAAATTTGGTATGATGATAGCTGGTTATCTGGATCAACATATAGGATACTTTTTTCTAATCTATCTCATCTCTGAGAAAAAAACGTTAAAACGTAATATACGTCGCTAGTATTCTATCATACTTAATATTATGAAATATATTTATTTAAAGTTAATATGTTTAAAATTAACTTCGTTAAAAGTAAATGCACGATTAGTCTATAGAATTAAATTTGGCCATCTAAATATTTTAGTGGATTATGAATTAAATTCCGACTTAGCAATGCATTTTAATTGAATAGCGCTACAAACACAAATCATCCTATATATTACGCTAGCTTGTATAATATATTTATATAGTATACATAATATGTGCAATTGTACATATACATTATACATACATATACACAGATGAACTTACAGAGAATTTCAGTCGATAGACCATGTTTATATATCATAATGCAACATATATACATACTAGCAGAAGCCGCGGCATCACTCGCGGGAAAACTACAAAAAATACCTAATAAGACAGTTTCATACAAACTTTCATCCCCTATTTTACCCCCTTATAGGATGAATTTCAAAAAATGCTTAAACACGTATTTATTTAATTTTATTGAAGAGCATTAATACTCAATTAATACTTTTAAGTAATTCTAATCATAAATATTTTTTTGGATTGTATTATAATGTGTTTTACCTTGGGAACAAGATAATCACCCGCGGTAAAAAGTAGCCTATGTCACTCTCTAGCCGTCCAACTATCTCCATACAAAATCACGCTAATCTGTCACTCCGTTTCGACGTGAAAGAAGGACAAACAAACAAACACACTTTCACATTTATAATATTAGTATGGATTTACATATTTCTTCAAAACAATACAAACATATATACATATTTCTTCGTTCTAAAAATAAAACTAATTTGCGAAAATTATATATTATTCTACTTGAATGTCCACTTCAAATTTTATTTGAACCATCGATATGCCAATTGTTATAACAAGATCTGCGCTTTTTCCAGACCAGCTCCGTAAATCTCTTGCAACTCGATTTATCGGAAGCTTTTAGCTTTTTTAATAACATCTATGCTTATACAACGTTGGTTTTTTATAGTTTTTCACTTTGAGATTGAGAACAAAAAATATGAATTTAGACGTCACGAGACATAGAGTGCAACATCATTAGTGTGATTTTGGCCCCAAAACTAACAAAAAAATACGCCACTCACGAAATATGTTTCTGTTTCGCAAAACTGAATTCTACAATGGATTGCTAATTACAAGTAACTAATGTAAAAAAATATAATATCATTTCTTTTGCATTATTTTATTTTACATTACATTCTATTACTTTTTTTAACCGACTTCCAAAAAGAAGGAGGTTCTCAATTAGCCTACAATATTTTAGGATATGAATATTTAATAGGTAAATATATATGTATTTTACATATCGAAATATATTAGATTTGCTTTGCATCGGCTGGCACCGACTTCGAAAATATCTGATTAGGTATCTATTCTAAATGAAAACCTCCATTTAGTTATTTTTTACATTTTAGTGCCTGGAAGTCGGTTTTTATTTATTTTTTTAAGTTTTTATAGCAAATACGTAGATGTATATATTATAATGCATAACATAATAAAATAAGCTATTTGAAGAAAGTGTATAGCTATTAGCTAAAAGCTTTTTAATTAATGAAAGCTCTATTTTAATAGACCACTAATTATAACGATGTAACCATTTTGTAGAATACATTTTATAAATTAGACTTTCTGTTCCTTGTATTTAATACCTATTTTAACAAGAAAATTATATAATTATATTTACTGAGTTATATTACTACAATATGTAGACTAATTAATTATTACTAATTAATTTTTGCTAAAAGCCTGGCACGTGTTAACCTTTAGTGTTAAAATCTACGCAGAATCAAGGACAAACAGACTGATAGACGAAAAACATTGTGGTTTTACAATTATAGCCCACAGGCAGATATTTATTTCAATTTCATTATACGTAGAGATCCATTAGTTTCTTTAGAAATATAAACTCTGGGATATTACCTTTCAACTCTTATTATATGTAAATATTATTACGGACTCGGTGCATCCGCTCGCAGTACATTATGATCAAGTGCATACGTATCTCAGAAAGATCTTTTTACATGAACAAATTTAGCCTAAGCTGCATTTGATGTATAGCAAAATAATTATAATATTTTTGCATATAAAAGGTTACATTGTCTTCTACGACCTTAGGATACTGATTTTACAAAAAAAAGAAAATGCTTATTTTATCGACTACGATATAGACAACAATACCAAAAAGTTCTTACGTGATTAAAGATAATGCTAAGGATATTTTTGTTCTAACTATTTTATCTATAAAAAATGATAGGAAATATTTATTTCACTTTAAAATCTAACCTATTATGTATGTTTAAAAAAAAGAATTAACCGCTTTTTTTAAAAGAAAAGTGCGTATATTTTATTTATTTACAATTTTTTTCAGTACATGAATCCTACAGGAAATTGGTTTTACCGGGGTAAAAAATATCTTATAGCACCCATAAGGAAATATCTCTATAAAAATTGATATTCAAACATTTCGTTATAACGTTCCATTACGCTCATATAAGACGGAAATAATGTCATAACTGTAGGTTCTACAAAATATAACCCTATACAGACAATAGGCATTTAGGTACCTATTGCCTGCGGCTATACCTAGGTATTAACAAAGAAAAAGGGTCGAGCTATTGCGGTAACCGAATTGAAGACATTTAGCTTGTAAAGAAGCACTACTAACTACGATTCTAGAATCTATATGTGAATAGCCACCTTTAGTTGTCTCTAAGTACCAAAAACCATTAAGTTAGATAATCTAGACCAAACATTATCCGCCTTAATGTATACTTTTAGATGCTATTTACACGGTAATCTAGAAGGTTAAATCCACAGTATAATTTTGTCTTATTGTTCATTAAATGTGTATGGCGTAATTATATGCATATAATAAAACAAACAAACAAACAAACAAACAAACAAACAAACCAATAAACAAACATACTTTCACATTTATAATATTAGTAAGTATGGATGACGTGGATAACAATAACATAAATAAAAAAATATATAAAAAATACACACCTACTTCAAAATCACATAAAATGAAATAAGGTTGAATATATTTTTAAAATTTATTCGACTGAACCTTGAAGTATAACGTATTCATTAAAAAAGGTTATGAAAATAACTTTACAATTGAGGAAGATATCGCATAACACAGACGCAGAAGAATACAAAAAAATACCTTCTACCTAAAATGCATTATCCAATAAGATCCCGATTTATGTAGTGGACCCCACACCCGTTTCCAGACGAAATATATTTTTTAAACCATAAAATATATTAACAAACACGACCCAACGGGTCACCAAAAAATTTGCTCCGTGCTATTTTTTATAAAAAAACCTCTAATCTGGAGATGTTTTGATATGACAATCCTATATTATTTTTGACATAAAATCTACATTATGATGGTTGGTTCCGGAAAATACGATCCGATACGAGCAATTATGTATTTCAATTTACTTGTTTATACCTGGATATCAATTAGGAAATGTGGATTCTAAAAAGCCGACAATCGCATGATGGCACTTTCTACAAATCTTTTACTTTTGATTGATAATAAAAAGAGTTCTTTTACTTTAAAAAAAATCAATCAAAAATTGCCTAAAGCAAATTTTTGATAACAACCTCCCTAATTCGTGTTTGTTAATGTTTTATTGTTTAAAAAATATATTATAGAGATCACGATCTATGTGGTGGACCCTGTGTATACATAACATAGAATAAAAGGTCCACCACATAGATCGTGATCTCCCACTAATATACCTTATGGCCAATTTCAAGTCAAGAGTACTCAAAAAATATATTTATAAAAGTTATGAAATATAAGATAAATATTAAATACATTATATCGAAATACGACAAAAAAATTTTTGCTCATCATAAATTCAGATTGACTAATACGCAAAGATATCAAAATAAACTTTTTAAGTATAAAAACGTGTAATCGCAATACTTTTGCCACTTTATAATACGCTTTCCAACTACCTAACTCGAGCCAATATTTTTACACGTGCCACAAAACAGCTAGAGGCAATATGCCTAAACCAAACACAAACTTGTTTTCTTTATATTCAGTATATCGTGACTTTATTAAAAGTTAAGCCGGATGGTTGAATAGATGGATGGATGTTTGTTACTCTTTCACGTCAAAATGGTTGAATGGATCTGGAAGAAATTTGGCACAAAGATAAATTATAGTTCGAGTTAGAATAGCACATTTATCCCGAAAATTATATAGGTTTTTTTATCCCGGAAAAATGTACGGTTCCCGTGGTATAGATTTGTTTTGCCTATGAATATACAGAAAATTATTAAAATAAATAATACATGTTCTTAAAATATTAACTTAGATTTGCCAACATTGTAGTGAATTCGATTTCCTTATGATCTAAAAAAAATAAAAACTTTGATTTACCTAAATTTCCTTATTAAGATATTATAATTATTATTATCGATTTTAAAAAACTAAAAATTATTGTATCACTCTCGCTTCGCTCGGGTTCGTCGCTAGGGTCGTTATGATTAGATATAAATAGTTTTTAGCCAGTTAGCCATATAAATTTTAATTTTTTTTTCGTTAACTTTTCTGATGTTTTAATCCTATTATCCTATTCCGGACTAAGAGAAATCTAAAAAATCAAATATCATAAAAATAGGTCCAGCCGTTCTTGAGTTTTAAATGGTGTGACTAACACGCTTTGTTTTATATATATATTTATTATTCACCTGAGTTTATATTTTTTCTCTTTATTAAAACTTTCCGTGTACCTTTATGGAACACACGAAAAAAATTAGCTCAATTGGTCGAGCCGTTCTCGAGTTTTGCGCTTAGCAACATTCATTTTTATTTATATAGATGTATTGTAAAACTTTGCATGATTGTTATTTAGAAGACAACATCGAATGTGATAACCAGGTGATGAGTAAGGAGAAACTCTTTAATGGCTTCTTGTTGACCCCTTGAGTTTTGAGCTCATTTAGTTTATTTTAATTATTTTAATAAGGAAATCTGAAGATGAAACCAATTTAAATAGTAGCATCATTTCATGCGTTAATGTTTTTATAAGTAGTTTCTACAATAATTTACTATTCTTACTAATATCTACGTAAACAAAAGAATTGTGTATTAACGTTTACTTTTGCAAAGCTTTATAATTTTAAAATTATAATTTTTTTTTAAATATGTTGGGACATTTACACACAGCACCATCTAGTTTCCACGGTAAGCTACGAAGCTTGTGTTATGGATACCAGATAGTTGATACACTACACATATATAGCTTTAAATACATACATATTATTAATATAAACACCCATGACTGAAGTACAAACATTCGTGCTCATCACACAAAAGTATGCCCCCAGCGGGACTCAAACTCGCGACCGCTGGCACAGCAAGTAGGGTCACTACAAACTGAGCCAAACGAGTCGTCAGGTATTATGATGGTATATACGTATTTTTACGTAATTATCTATTCTGGAACATGTAAGCTCATTTAATTAAAACTAACCTATTGAAACATATTATTCAAAACTACACGCTAATAAAATACATAAAATGACTAAATAATTCAAAGGAATTATATATATATATATATATATATATATATATATATCGACATTTATGTATGTATATACACTAATTACTACAATATTACTACGACATACGAGCACAATTTTGTAGAAATATTTTTACATTTTATAGTGAAATAAAAGAGGCTTAATGTAGCATTTTAATGAATTATGGCCGATCTAATAACTGAATATATAACTTACCTCAGCTGTTGAAATGATCAAAAACTGCGGCAACAATAACGCCATTGTTATTGAATTCGGTTCTGTTATTGTTATAACTTTTGTCCGCTGAAAGGAAGAAGTTGATAAATCACTAGCTATTTATATAGAATTTTGTAATTTGTAATATTATTAGGTATACGTCATTTTTCATCTATTATTATCATAAGAAATGTGGGTATTTTATGAAAAAAAAACCAACAGGTACACGTTATTAGAACTGAGAGGACTAATATTACAAATGCAAAAGTTTTTACGTGTATATATGTCTTAATCCTTCACGTTTAAACCGCTGGCGGGATTTCGATAAAACTTCATATAGGTGACCTTTGCTTTTTTTAACATTGGGAAATGCTTTTATGCATACCACCTGCATACATACATACAGGTGTACTAAGACTGTGTACCACGCGGGTTGCTCCTGGTACTTCTCTGACAGTAGAGTGGACGTTGGAGCAACCCCGTGGTTGTCGTGGTCTGCCTCGGCAGACCTGCCGTCGGCGCCAAGTGTTTGAGAGCGTAAGCAAATCGTTGTCAGAAGCAGAGCGTTGTCAGATTAAAACGTTGAGTTTAGGTACATAGTATTGACTTTTCTAGCCGGTAAGTCCCACATAACCTGTATGTATGCTAATGGTATGCATAAATGTATTTCCCAACATTAATCCCTCCACGACCGCGGACACGCCAGTGTTACAGTTAACAATAGATTTCTTAGAAATTTAATTAATTTCTTAGAAATTTACCTGGAGGTATTAAAAAAAACAAGACAGGTTAACATTAAAATATTTCAAAAGGTGGCATTAACTGTATGATATTATAATTAACTTACATAATCACCACCAGTATTATCAATCACTACAGTATAGACGCCGCCATTATTCATCTCAATATCACTCGCTATCACAGAATCGTTAACACGTATAGAATAAACAGACATAAACACTTCCGTTTGTTGATATTTATCATTTATATATAATTCTGCTTCCTTACGTTTCTCGTTAAATAGATAAATCTCAGATGTGTTTACGCGATGCGATGGGAGAAATCTAGAAAATATTTTAAATTAGCATCAAATGTAAGCATAGTTCTGAAAAGTATATAAATAAACAATTTTCTATAGTAAAATTATAAACAGGAAACATTTTTTGTTTGTTTGTACCGAATAATCTCCGAAACTACTGAACCTATTTAGATGAAATTTGGTTAGAAGATAGTTTGAGACCCTGGCAAGGACATAGGATAGTTAAGTAAAAGTTAAGTAGGGAAAAAATCCCGGAAATCATCCCTTAAGGGGGTGAAAATGGGGATGAAAGTTTGTATGTGGAAGTAACCTAGAGATAAACCCAAACGAATCGAGGGTGAGTCGCTAGTGTCTTAAAAAGCTTTATGTTTCATTTTCCCTTTAATAAAATTTCATAAAAGCTAATTTGACTTTAATGAAATTGTCGCTACTGAATAGTAAATTCCGGCAAAAAGAATATCGGCTAGTTTTTTTTTATTTACATCAGCCTTTATTCGTTTTTTTATAGAAAGCTATGAAAACTGTTTTTGGGATTTTTCACAAAAAGAACCAATAATTCAAATAATTACAATAACTGTTGTTGAATATCGTGATTACGTCAAACTTAAAGAAACATCACCTCACATAATATTTCCATAATCCTTTTTATAACACAACAGTCATCACAGAAAAATTAAAAATCCACATCAACAAAAGGATGGATTTATTACTTTTAAGTAAATCTCGTAATTGTTCTAGTGTTTACTTCAAAAGCATTAAGAAAATTAATTAATTAATCTATACATATAATATAATTCTAACTAAGTCGAATCTGTACATTAAATATTTTCTGGAAAATCTTATTGAAATAAACATTATTATCGATACAGAGGCCGAATCTATAGTTCATACAATTTTTGTTTGTCTGTCTGTTACCGCATCACAGAAAAACCACTGGAGGGATTTTGATGAAATTTGGTGTGGTGATGGCTAGTTATCCGGGTCAACATAAAGGATACTTTTTACCGCGGGAAAATATCTCATTTCTGAGAAAAAATACAAAAACTGCAATGTAAGAGTATACTAATATGTAAAACCAAGGAATTGGTTTTTGGTCATCTGAACGCGGACGGAGCCGCGGGCCATGCTTGTTTAATATAAAAAAAACTAATTAATTAATTTTCTATAAAAAAGAAATAGTAATTATATATCTCCCGAATGCATATATTTTAATGAAAAATAGTGATATTAATTAAACAAGAACTCACCTCACAACCGGTAGTCCAGATTTACTTTTGTCTACATTTTCTTCAAATCTGAACACATTAATGCCATTAATATAAAAAGACATAGCCTTATTCTCTTTTAAAGTAAAAACTTCGTTAGTGGGCTCAATACAATTACCGCCTATGGAAAACTGTAATTCTTCTATCTCTTTCACGCGTATATGCTTATTAGTATAATGTGAAAGAGAGGGAATAGTGTATATAATGTTTTGTTGATCATTATGTATGGATATTGAACATGGATTTCCATTGAATATGCGTAACTGTGAAAATCCCGACTGTGGCAGTTCTGGGTAAGTTGTCTGCAAAAAAATAATATTTAGACAATAAATTAAAGTATAAAAACGGTAAATAATACAAATGAAGGTACTACTGTTATTGATACAAACGCTTAGATGGATTTGGATAAAGATTAGTGCAAAAATACTTAGTAAAAAGAAGTCACTGGACCTGGAATAGACCTAAAGCATCACATAGCCTACTGTTAGAGCCAAAAGGTGGCGCTACCTTACTACTAGTGTATAAAATTGTAAATTTAAAAGTTACTTAGGGATGTTCCCGGAGTGAAGCACATGTAAGCCGCTAGTCTAAGTAATATTATAAACGAGAAAATTTGTGAGGATATATGGATATATGTTTGTTACTCTTTCGCGCAAAAATTAGTAAACAGATTTCGATAAAATTTTACCGTAACGTAGCTTATATATCAGAGTAACACATAGGCTATAATTTGTGAAGACATAGTAATAACTACGGGGACGGATCCACGCGAAATTACTATTATACAATAATGGTACACAACGCAGTACTAACACTCAGTTTTAGAAAATAGTTAACAATCTTACCGGAAAAATTGCTAAATGTATTGACGATGTAATTATTAAGCATTTTAAGCAGGATCCGCTTAGTCTATCAAATAATTTTGCGACAGAATTCGACAATAATGTGAAAAGTATATGTATCGATTGTGATTTGAAAATGTTAAATTCTACCTCGTATGAAAATATACCAGAAACTTCAATCAGACTAGAGCGAGCACGTGAAGAGGATGTCAAACGTATAATTTTGCGTATAAGTGACAAAAAAAGTCCAGGTTATGACGGAATTAGGGCAAGCGATATAAAATATACCTCCTCACATCTAGTACCAGTCATTACTCACCTCATAAACCAGTGCATAGCTACATCAATTTACCCGGATATGTTGAAAATTGGCGTAATTCGGCCGATTTATAAGAAGGGAAAGAATGACGATTATAATAATTACCGTCCCATCACTATTTTGTCATGTGTAGATAAAATTATAGAAAGGTACCTAGGGGATAAAATAAATAAATATTTAGCTCAACATTCAATCATTAATAATAAACAATATGGTTTTCAGAAAAATAAAAGCACCACTGAATTACTAAGAAAATTTACTAACGAAGTTAACACGCATTTGGACAAAAAACTTCACGTGCTCGTTTTACTCATAGATTTTAGCAAAGCCTTTGATGTATTAAATTACAATATTTTATTCGATAAACTTTCGCGGGGTGGTATACAGGGTCCTTTACTGAAATTATTAAAAAATTATCATCTTAACAGAAAAACCACAGTAAGCCTATCCAAACAATGTAGTAACTTAATATCAACCAAACGGGGCACAGCACAGGGCTCAATTATCGGCCCTACTGAGTACTTGTTATATGTGAACGACATGGTTAATATTATAAATGAGGGCACTGTATACCAGTTCGCGGACGACACATGTTTAGTGGTAGCTCAAAGAACGGTCAAACATGCCCAGGAAAAACTACAAAATAATTTTAATCAATTATGTAAATGGGCACACGATGTAGGTCTGATAATAAACGCACACAAAACGAAGTTTATACATATTCACTCGTCGCACAATCAGACAGACATCAGACCTACCATCGTGGCTCACAACCACTCTTGTTTGCACTCTTCATGCAGTCTGAATTGTTCGTGTGTAGCTGTTGAACAAGTGAAAACACATATGTACATAGGCTTAATGATCGATGACAGATTTACCTGGGGCCCGCATACAGATCACGTTTGCTCAAAATTAAGATCATTATTAAGTAAACTAAGTATACTCAAAGCCAAATTACCATACCAGACACTAAGGCTCCTGTACGTGGCCTTGGGTGACTCGGTTATCGATTATGGTGTTAGTAGTTACGGCAGATCCTGCAAATCAAACTTGGAAAATATTTACAATTTACAGTTAAGATTATTAAAAACAATTGTACCTAAACACATACTTAATAATTATAAGAACAACTATATTCAGCTATTTCGGCATTGTAATGTTATGAACATATATGATAAAGTTAAATTTTCTATTCTAACTCAAATTAATAATACAACCTTGTTAAATGAAAAACTTAGACCTTTAGGCTTACGTCAACTTGATTTAAACTATAAATACCACTTACCAAAAACTAACAATAAGTATGGAAAGAGAACTGATAACTACTTAATACCTGAATATGTTAACGAACTGCCCAGAGAACTGCAAGAAATGTATAAAAGTACCACGAAAATCAAATCACTTTTTAAAAAATATTTTTTACAAAAACAAACCGAATAAACTGAATGACTCTCTGTACCCAGATAAACCCGCGAGGTTTTCGTGGTACTTAAATTGCAAATTATAATGTATTTGTTATGTATTGGCCAATAAATAAAAAAAAAAAAAAAAAATATGGCAGCGAAACGTGGATGTGGCAGAAGTATGTAAGTAAGATGAATGAAGTAGAAATGCGATCTCGCGGGATGCTATACGGTGTCAGTGTATTTAATAGAATTCGCAATGAATTATGAACAGTTACATACAATGGCAGGTTGAGATGAAAATAAATAAAACGATATCAAATGGCCTGAGAACTTCCAATGAGTGGAGAAATAAGGGTGACAATAATATATGAAAAGAGTGGAAGATAAAGTTGAGGTCTTTTATAAAATACAGGAAAAAAGAGAGTCAATTTTTGGAAAACAAAGAAAGGATTTCAATTAAAAGGAAAGGTAGTCACTCTAATTATAACACTCGCGCGTACGTAGTTACTAGCAATAGCTATTCTATATCTATTTTGACAGGGAGATAAATGGATGACTGGAGAATAATCGGGAAAATTCTTCATTTCGGGAAAACATGTTATAATAAAAAACAGATTAAGCAACTATGAGAGTGGGATGTAACAAATCCGAAAGTCTAGTAATGCTTGATCACTTGTAAATTATTCATTCGATTGCTAATGAATTATTGTGCGAACACCTGCAAAGATTTCTGATGTAGTACCATCAATGTAAGATTAGTATCGCGCGAGCTGTATCAGATAATTTTTATTCATTCGTCTGAATTGGAAAGGTTATAATATATAATTTATAAGTGATCTATTTCATAGTATTATTTTTGTCGTTTCTTCTGTCATATTTTTGCTGGCAGCGCAAGATATATCATTGCATAAATTGCACAAAACATTATTGCCGAACTTTTCATCTATATCTATACATACAAAATTCTGAGTCGAATCTGTACATTAAATATTTTTGGAAAATCTTATTTAAATAATCATTATTATCGATACATAGGCCGAATCTGTAGTTTTTAGATTTTTTGTCTGCCTGTCTGTATATATGGAACTCATCACGAGAAGACAGGTTAAGGACAGATTTTGATGAAATTCGGTATGATGATAGCTGGGTATCCGGGTCAATCAATATATAAGATACTTTATACTGCGGGAAAATATCTCATCTCTGACCAATCTCTGTACAGTGTAAACGTCAATATTATCGAAATGCCTGGATAAATAAATAACATACTATGTATAAAATATTTATAAATAAACACTTACCTTTATATAAATCTCAACTAACGCAGAAGCTATAAATGCGACTCCCGCTAGGACACCTCCTAATGTTAATTTGTGAAGAGGATTTATCAGAATATTCCTACGTCCTAAATATGGATATATGTACTAAAAATAGAAAAAATAAAACAATTTTAATTTTTTTTTACGGAATAACTTAATATTTTTTTCATTACAAATACGTGCTTTTAGTGGAAAGATCAGATGATATTTTCTTTTTGCTTGAAATTTATTAAGTCATACTTTTCATATAAAATTTGCTAGTATAAAATTAATATAATATTTCAATGTAAGATTAAAGAGGTTAATTTATTTAAAATTATAAATTTTATTATTAATTACAAAGATAATTTAAAGTCCATGTTATCTTTTAATCATTTCATCTTTCGGTACTTTCATTACAATTTAAGAAGCCGGAAACCAGTGGCATAGCTATGTCAATGCAACCAATGCGGTCGCATGGGGCCCCTGGTTCAAGGGGGCCCCAGCCGGCCAGAAACGATTTTTCATTTCCAAAATTTTTTTCGAGCACGGCTCTTAAAGAAGTTTTAAAAAACTGCAAGAAAAAATTGTCCTAAATTTACGCATAATATTTTGTACGGGAACCACGAGGAATGTGATCGTACCTATGTTCTATAAAACAATTAATGGTTTTTTACTAAATTTTACGACTTGAAAAAGTAAGAAGTTCTAAAACTGTCTGTGGACCACATTCTTTTTCATTATAGGAAAAGGGAGGCACTTCTATTTTTTTTTTGCATTGGGGCCCAAAAAGTTCGTTACACCACTTTGTGGAACGATGTGATTCTACAACGTTGAAGAAGAATAAATTTAAAAATGTGATAAAATCAGAACTTTAAACGTTATATGATAGAATCATAATATATTCTTGCCATACATAAATAATTTTAGATCTATATTCATCAACGATTGTAGAATTACATTTTATCTAAGTTATATTTTTTTCTAAATATTGATATATCTCATTGCGTATCGCAAAGAGACTCACTCACCTTTTGGGAGAGCGGTATAAGAATAAGAATACAAATCGGCGCGAACACTTGTAACTGATCTGGCTTGATCGTTATAAATCCTAACCGACCGTCCATTTTCGTGGCTTGCAATGTCCATCTGGAACCCTATAGATTAAAAAACCATTGATATATAATCCTTTATTTTATTACTTTGTTCTTTATCTCCTCACTCTATTACTTCCGTCAATAAAAAGAGCTCAGTGACAGTCAATAGCAGTGCTTTATCTTTCCACAATTTCGATCAGTATAGCAGACTTTACTGTGACCTATTGCCGAACTTATTATCAAATTTTGAGAACCTTTTTAATTCAAAATTGTATTTGACAGTAATAAAAATTTTCTTTTCGACATTATATTTTACTAGTACGAGTAGCATTTACTATTATTTTAGAAGCGTATCACGTAAGACCTCAATAACCATTCATATTAAACGGCAGTTCTCAAAGCCACCATTGTACGCCACTAATTGGAACTGTAACCGACTGACGACGTAGACCGACGATGTATTAGACAGTGCCAGATAGATACATGCCACACTGCACATTCTTAAAGTTAAATTCTATTAGTATACATACAGCATCGACTCTACATATATCGTTTAGTAGGTAATTTGAATTTGATATAGCACTCTGATTAATTTTCTAACGTGTGCTGTTTTTTATTCTGTGTGTTATGCAGTACAAATTTTTAATTTACACATTTATAAGGTAGTGTGATATATAACCTCTTGAAATAATCTATACTAACGTTATAAAGAGGTAAAAATTGTGAGTTTGTGATGTTGTTGGAGGTAATTTCTGGATCTACTGAACCGATTCAGATGTAATTTAGTAAGAAGATAGTTTGAGACCCTGGAATGGACATAGGATACTTTTTATTCCGAAATCATTCCTTAAAAGGGTGAAAATGGGGATGAAAGTTTATATGGGGAATAAAACTAATATATTTTTTTATAGTTAAATAAAAAAAATTCTTGCAAACATACCGTAAAGCCATAAAATTTAAGCAATAAAGAAACAGTTAGCGAAGTTTAGTAGTGAATTGGACTCAGCCCAAAAATGGTAATCTCAACTTTCATAAACGTAATGGAATTAAAGTAGGTAACTGTTATACTCGTAGGTAGTAAATTTTATGAATATCATATCATAAAATCGAGGAAAATAGTTCTATTAAGACTTTTAAGTATATTTTAAACTAGGAGAGCCTGCGGCTTCGCTCGCGCTAAAACTTCAAAAAAATCTCCAAAAAGATAGGTTTCTTAAAAACTTTCATCCCCTATTTTACCCTCCTAGGGATTGAATTTTGGAATACGCTGAAATATGTAACTCGTTATTTTTGCCGTACTCAATTCATACTTTTCATGCAAATATGTCCAAGGAATAAAAAGTTTCATACAAACTTTTAACCCCTATATCACCCCCTTGGGGGTTGATTTTGAAAAATCCTTCCTTAGTGGATGCTTACGTTATAAGAGGAATACGTGTGCGAAATTTTAAGTTTCTAACCCTAAGGGTTTGGCCGGTGCGTTGATACATCAGCCAATCACTTTTGCCTTTTATATATATAGATTACACAAAATAAACTCTCTCTACGCTCCTCTGGTTGGGAACTTGTTCTCTATAACATTTTTTTTTAAAGTTTATGAATAATTGATTTATTACAATACAACTTAAATGATTTTGATTAAACTAAGTAGTTATTTGTAGGCAGTGGTAGCTCAGCGGTAACGCGCTCGCTTGGGTAACCGAGTAAAGCAGTGTCGAATCCCGGTTTCGAACCTCTGATATTCTATGTGCGAATCATTTCTAACATGATTAAATGAAGACACCTGCATGTCTGAGTGAATCTAGCAAGTTTTCGAAAGACACGTGAAGTCCGCCAACCCGCACTTAGCCAGTGTGGTGGACTATGGCCTGATGCCCCTTGTATTGAAGCCCATTCCGTCCGAAGGCCCGTGCCCAGCAGTGGGATGTAAAAAATGGCTGCATACATTGCTTTAATTTATGTTCATAAGCAATAGATAAATATAGATATCAGCTGGTGCAGGTTTGACTCTCTAATAGAAATTAAAAATAATTAAGAAAATTACGTATTGTTATATTAAATGTTCGTTGAAACAATGATACATGACCGTACTATTTGATTTGATAGGAGTTATATGGTATCTAAAATATTCTCAGGAATTTTTTAAACTAGTTTATTGCTTACCAATTGATCAAGGAGTGCCCAAAACACTGGCAACACAGTGAATAACATCAAAATCGACAAAGTTTTCTTCACATCCTTTATGAATCGCTTGTCATATTTGGGTTGCGTACTGTCCAACCAGTGAGATTGCTCTTCATTTCTCTTTTTTGTGACTAAATTTTTAATTCCTAACTGAAATAAACGTAATAGCCTTTTCGTCATACATATACTTTATCTAACAAATATCTTTCAAATAAGTGGGGTCGACATGTGACGTTAAATCAAATCAAAGAATAAAAGTTAAAAATCGAAAGGTTTAATTGTCTGATCACAAATTCGAACTTATGCACACCACATAAAGTAATTGTTTTTTCTAGTAGATGTTGTTATTTCAATGTCATAATTTTACTTTTCCCTATTAGGGGTCGAGCATATATACATATATAATTATATTTCATTTTGTATCTTTAACGTTTATCATCTTTCGGAGGAAACAAAAAAATATACTCTCGGACTTCCATCATACTAATATTATTTATAAAAAGTATCTAGTTTGTTAGTAGGAATTAATTTCTGGAACTACTTGAGCCGATTTAGATGAAATTTGGTAAGAAGATAGTTTGAGACCCTGGAGAGGTAGTTTTATCCCGAAAATCATCCTTAAAGGGTTAAGGCGGTAAAAATGGGGCTGAAAGTTTGACGAACCCAATCGAAGCCAGGGTGAGTCGATGGTAATCAATATGTACTGTGTGTTAGTTAATGATACCCTTTCGTTTAATCAAATCTTAATTTATATAGTAAAAATAAATATTGATACCGACATTTGCTTTACAGAGCAAGGGTAAATAAATTGGGTAAATCAAACAATATATAAGTTAAGTTTTTTAAGTGGGCGTGAATGGGGAAATGTGATATTTTAAGGGATAGCTAAAATGCTTAGATGTTACGGTGTCGATATCGATAAAAATTGGGTAGAGTTTAAAAAAAATAATAGAATGTTTTAAAAGAGGGCATAGGTTAAGTTATATTTTCTGTAAAAATTATAAAATAAAGTATAAAAATAAAGTAAATTTTAATATCCATATTCATTTAATAATCTACAGATACAGATAAATAAAATTGTAGTGTCTGTTTGTGATGTCAAAATAACAACTTTTTAGTAATTACATATGAAAGTATATGACGGTACCTACTTAATACTTATAATAAAAAATGTCTGTCTGTTTGTTCCAACTAATCTCCGAAACGGCTGGACAAATTTCGATAGGGCTTTCGCTGGCAGATAGCTGATATCATAAGAAATAACTTAGGCTACTTTTATTTAAGGAAAACACCCAAGAGAAGCGAGTGTAAGTCGCTAGTAATTTATATGAATAAACATCATTCTAACATAAAACAAAACATGAACAAAAGCATAAATATTTCTATATCAAATATTATTTCTAGTTAGTATATTCATATTAAATATTTACAACAAATATCATAATTACAACAAATATTTACCAACTCTGTCAATTCCAACTCCGATTTTATATATGGAAACAAAAAAAAGATTTATGTATGATGAAATTAATTTCATCACCTATAATATAGTAAAATTGCCATAAATAGATAAGAGTTTTTTAGTTATCCTAAAATATAAAATCATGAACATACTATGACATTACAAAAAACAACATAAAGGACATATGTATACCTTTTACCGGCATAAAATATGAAGTTAGAAGCCTTCCATTAATTATGTGAGCTCAAAATGGGGGAGTAAAATCAGTAAGATCTAATCAAATGTCATTTAAACATAAACTAAAATCTCACGTCGACTGTAAAATAATATATGTATATTATATAGATAATAAAAAAAATATTATTCCTTTCATTTCTTTTGAAGTGACCCATTTTGCCCGCTGAATAAATCGCATGGCAATCTCATATAAATCTCACGTAAATCTCGTGGAGTGGGACAACCAAATCTCACTTAATCTCACTAAAGGGGGAGCAGTCCAAATGAAAAGAAAAACAGCTCACGTAATTAATGAATGCCCTTAACGACAGTAAAGGTACTAATCACAAAGCGACTTTAAACAAAACAATGTTTTTGACATAACAAACAAATATACCTATGTGTCTAACAAGATAACTTACAGAAACGCATTTAACGAAATCAAATAACGTGTTCCCTTCCGGTTTCTTCATTACGTAACTATTCTTCGCACTGACGAAAATTACTACAAAATAAAATATTTAGATTATTATAAACTACATACAAACAATTTAATTCGTTATTAGTTTCTAAATGAAACAATAATTAAACAGTAGATTGAAAATATATTGGCCTAAATAAACCATACTATACCAATTTATTATTCATGTTATAAAGCTAAATTTTTTTTTTGTTTAAATGCACTATCTGGATATATCAGCATGATTTAAATAATAATTTATATTAGCACTTTATAACCTACTAGCGACTCACCCTCGCTCCGCTCGAGTTCGTCCCTAGTTACGTTTTAAAGTTTTGAATAGTTTACTCAGAGATGAGTTAATTTCCAGCAGTAAAAAGTATTCTATATATTTACCCGGATAACCAGCTAACATCATACCAAATTTCGTCATAATCTGTCCAGTGGTTTTCTCGTCATGCGTTCCCAGATAGACGGACGGACGAACGAACGAACAAACAGACAGACAGAAAGATAGACAGACAGAAAAAATTATAAAAACTATAGCTTAGGTATCTGTATGTATAATTATGACTATTTCAATAAGATTTTCCAAAACACATTTAATGTACAGATTCGACTCAGAATTTTATTATATGTGTAGATGTATTTAAAAATGTTTTAGATCCTACTAAACTGCATAAATAAACTACTCGATCGAAACCGCAGGCAGTAAAATTAATAAATATTCTATAAATTGTGGTTCTAAAATTACCATAATGTAAATCGAATATTTATTTAGAAGGCTTTTATGCCTTACACTAGCAAACCGCCAACGGGGCCACTTATATGATAATCTTCTATGTATGAAAAGGATGTCAGACCCTTTGCACTTAACTTCACTGTTAATCTAAAGATATGAGAAAGCATATTATAATTTTGACCTATTTGAAAAAAATACATTACTTTTTGTGTTTATTGTATATGTTACGGGTAATTCTAGAAGATTAAGTAAACCTAGGTTTACCCGGGTTTACTTAGAATCACCCAAGGTTCTTGGGTAAAGTTCGAATAATAAATTAAATAAGTTTTTATTCGGGTTGTACCCATGTACACCTAGGTCTACCCAACACTGGTTGGGTAATGTTGCTTCATGTTTAATCACGAGGCACTAAGGACGTGGACTCATGGTGTTCCTCCACGCTGCTCACTCAGCTTTTATTTTTTGGTAGAGACCTTTCTTTCTTTCTAGGTTGGTTAGGTTAGGTTAGAATATTTTTATTTTCACTAATTATTCTAACATTACCTAGCCAGTGTTGGATAAACCTAGGTGTGTTTGGTTAAATCCCGAATAAAATATTATTTCAATTATTATTCGAGCTTAAAGCTAGGTTTACTTAATCTTCTAGCATTACCCGTAACATATACATAATACTCGTATGTTACACGATATCTTCTCCTATCGTGAACCTCTTTACATAATACTTTCTTAGAAACGTTGGGAACCAAATATCAAAATAAATCCGCGAAATAATCCGAAAATATAGTTTTATTTAAAACCTCTTTACAAATGTTTTTATGAATTGGAATATAAACTATGGAAAAGAAATCCACAGTTTAAGGATGAAAATATGAATTTTAAAATGATTAAGAAGCTCGTTAAAAATAAATTACGGTAAACATTTATTTATTAACATTGAGCTATAAAATGTAAACGATGAATACTAGCTTTCCTTGACTTAGGTTTCAAGATCAGATTATAAAGCAAATAACTATAAATAATAATCTATATTTAGCATGTCTATCAATAAATGACGACACGTTTGGCTCAGTTTGTAGTATTCACCCTACTTGCTGTGCCAACGGTCGCGGGTTCAAGTCCGCTCTTCATTCATAGTTCCGCTGGAAGCATTCACTCGTGTGATGAGCACGAATGTATGTATGTATGTAGTACATACATATATATTGTGTAGTGCTCATTAAAATTCCTAATCTTATACCAAAATATTTGGCTTCGAAAATATTATCTTACAAAGGCGAGACTAAAATGCACTGCATTCTAAATAGAGCCAGTGAAAATATTTAAAGGAAAGTTTAGAAGATTTTGCCGTAGCTTAGCTTGTGGAAAACATTAACTTCATGGCATTAAGGTCATATTACACAGATGAAATACAAACAACGTATTTCTTAAAAAATGCGAAACTAGGTTGAATAGCTTTTATTGTATAGGATAACAATTGAAGATATTTCAATAGAAAGTTTTTTTTTTATATTAAGTACTTTTGAAATATCTACTTAACACACGACACGTTTGGCTCAGTTGGTAGTAACCCTACTTGTTGTTCCAGCGGTCGCGGGTTTGAATCCCGCTGGGGATGTAGTGTATCAACTATCTGGTGTTCATAACACAAGCCTCGTAGCTTACCATAGAACTAGATTGTGATGTGTGTAAATGTAAAAAAATAAATAAAAATAAAATAATAATAATAAAAATTATAGATCGTTAGTCTAGATTCTAGCTTTTCAGCTAGAGAGCTACGCCGGCTCAGAAAGCAGTTCTGCTGAGAAAAGCAGGCGAAAAACTCAACAGTTGCTTTTGAAAAAAAAACTTGTTATAGTATTACAATCAAATATTAATTCAAGACTACTCGTAGTTACTACAAGGTTATACCAAAATTTCCTATTTTCACCAATATTACGGAAAAGATAACAAAAATACTTTGCTGTTTTTATATTTGTCTAGTACCTTCCTATCAGACGAAGTTGTGTAAACAATTAAGATTTTATACAAATTAGTTAAACACTTTATTTATATAAAAATAAACTTTACGAACGCTATACCTAATTCCGCATATCTCCTTGAAAGGTAACCTGGTAAATATAGAATTTATATCTGACACTGACCCTGATAAAATGAGGCGGAAAAACGGTGGTTAAAAGTAAACAAAACCTCTTTATATTTAACAAATAAACACAAAAAAATAATAGTTTGCACTACCGAAATAGACGCCCTCTTAGATAACGGTGAGGCTTGACTTGTTTACTATATTGCGATAAACACGACAAAGTAAATAAACGTAACTGGAGTCTTTATCATTCATTAATATAACATTCAATAATAGTGTAATGCGTAGTTATAAATTAATTTATAATATATTAAAATAATTTTTGACGACACGTTTGGCTCAGTTCGTAGTGACCCTACTTGCTGTGCCAGCGGTCGCGGATTCGAGTCCCTCTGGGGGCATTCATTTGTGTGTTGAGCACGAATGTTTGTACTCTAGACACTACTCATGGGTGTTTATATTTATGATATGTATGTATTTAAAGTTATATATGTGTAGTGTATCAACTATCTGGTATCCATAACTCCAGTCTCGTAGCTTACCATGGAACTAGATAGTACTGTGTGTTAATGTCCCAACATATGTATGTATATGTATGTAATCAAAAAATAAATAAACTAAAGTAAATAAAATGAAAGGTAATCAAAAAGAGAGTAGGGTTAGTATTAGAAAAACTAATTATTCTTAAAAGAAAAACTTTTGTAAATAATATTACTTTTTACGAAAAAGGCATTTAATTTTATGGGACAAAAAAATTGCACTGCCAGTCAATGTCAACCATCATAGACAGAACTTTTTTTTGTGACTATAAATTATCAAAAAAACATATATTTAATCCCCCCACGACCGCGGACACGCCGCCGGCGTTACAATTAACAATAGATTTCTTAGAAATCTACCTGGAGGTTTTAAAATATTCCTAGCAGTAGCAAGTACGAAATACATTAGTACTAGGCGTTAGCTATTTTTAACCATCTATACATATAATAAAATTGTAACTAAGCCGAATCTGTACATTAAATATTTTTTGGAAAATCTTATTCAATAGATATAGAGGCTAATCTATAGTTTTTAGAATTTTTGTCTGTCTGTCTGTTACCGCATCACGGAAAAACCACTGGAGGGATTTTCATGAAATTTGGTATGGTGATAGTTGGTTATCCGGGTCAACATATAGGATACTTTTTACCGCGGGAAAATATCTCATTTCTGAGAAGTAATCTGAATGCGGGCGGAGCCGCAGGCAATGCTAGTTGTCTTATAAAAAATAATGTCATCAGGTCATTGTTCTCATAATTATATTTGCATTTAATATAATAATACTTTATCTTTTTATTTGGAAATATGAGATTGCTTTAAAATGTGCTGATTTTTGTGCAATGATCGTTATGCACTTTGTATATATAATAAATTTTTGGAGCTCAATGGATAAGACATGATTACAGCACCTATACCTACTGTCAGTACGTCCGTCACCATGCGCTTCCTTTAAATATTTGTATATTTAAACCGTAATAATGTAAGTTAATTTTATCCCTCTCTGTTTCTTTCGCCAGTTCTAAACCTTAGAACTTAGGCATTTTCTTTGTGAATTAACGATAGAATTTTCACTTAATATCCCATATTCCCCCATGCTTTTATATACATACATACATTTACATATGTATTTACTTTCATTCCCTATTTAAATAATTTAAACCCCTTAAAAACTTTAAACTTAATTTAAACCCTTTTTGGGAATGCATTTTCAAAAATAGTTTTTTGAAAATATTTTACTTTCGTTAAAATATTTATAAAGTAGCTTACATTTTTTGCAAATTGCATATATTATATAATAAGTATACCTAGCATATATTATATAATAAGTATATATAGCACCTATACCTATAATAGAAAACTATTTATTTCTACAAATAGCTTACTCTTCATATGAAATATTTAAGAGTGAAAATTCTCTATAGAAAATAGACGATGAGTCTCTATAACATGTGTACTCATATACATATACATATGTAAAATGAATATAAACTAGGTTTTTATTACTCTTATACCACAGCTCTCTTAACCAGAGCTGGTTTAAAACTAAATTAACACTAACAAAAATAGTAAAGAAAGATAACTCACCTATAGACATCAACACGACCAGTCCCGGAGCGCCGAAAGCCAGCGAGTAGCAGTCTTTATCCCCAAAGCAATGCACTTCAGATCTCAATATAGGGGATATCGTCTTCGCAATGAGACTTCCCGTGCATATATTGAAGTACAATATGCTAAAATATAGAGCTAATTGCTTCTCTTGCCGCGGAAGAAGAAATTGGTCCCCACCAAATGATGTAACGCAAGGCTTTATACCACCAGTACCCACGGTTATTAGAAATAGACCTATTACTGTCCATAATCTAAATGAAAAGAAAAAAATTGTAATTATTAAACAAGACGTTTGGCTCAGTTGGTTGTGACCATACTTTCTGTGCCAGCGGTCGCGGGTTCGAGTCCCGCTGGGAGCATTTATTTGTATGATGAGCATGAATGTTTGTACTTCAGTCATGGGTGCTTATATTTACAATATGTATGTATTTAAAGTTATATACGAGTATGTGTAGTGTAGCCACTATCTGGTATCCATAACACAAGCCTCGTAGCTTATCATGGAACTAGATGGTGCTGTGTGCTAATGTCCCAACATATAAATTATAAAAAAATATAAATAATTATTAAATTATAAATAACATATAAAAATTAACATACGAAAAAAGATTAAATTTAATACGATTATAAAACCTCCGAACATACATTAATTATTTATATTATAGAATTTACAATTTAATAATGTGCTTAGCATTATAATTAATGGCTTGTAAACAAAATTGCCTACAAGCGATATAATTTCAAGAACCAAATATATAATATAATAACAAAGACTTAAACATGAACTAAATATTAGTTATAATATATTATCATAATGGTAGTGGTAACGCGCTTTCTTGGAAAGCCGAGTGAAGCAGGTTCAAATCCCGGGTTTCGCACTCTGATATTTTCATATGCGAATCATTTCCAAAATGATTACCACTTTTCTTACGGTGAAGGAAAACATCCAGAGGAAACCCACATGTCCGTCAGAACCTAGCAAGTTTTCGAAAGACATGTGAAGTCCGCCAACACGCACTTAGCCAGCGTGGTCCCCTTCATATTTAAGAAAGCTCTTGCTTAGCAGAGGGGTATAAAAAAAGGCCGATTGAGTTATTACCAAAATTTAGTTTTTCTCTCCTAGGCACACTCCCCAACGCCGTCTTGTACAGGGATTTTCTTAACAGAAAGACTCAATAACTAAACTTGACCCGACCCGAGATCAGAACCTCCGGACAAGCAGATGTACGGCTAGCCACTACACCACCGAGTAGAAAACAATACAATAAGCCTACCATAATGATATTTATAACTAACTTTTAGGTACGTACATTTTAAACCGTTTTGACCGTAATTAATCATGTCATAATTACTTCAAACCGAAATGTTGCAATTTGCCCAAACTAATTAGTAACTTTTGTACTACTTCATTTAGAAATATAATCTGATTTAACTCTGACATGTTTATTAACTTCTAAATAATAACTGGTATAATTTGGTGATTATACTGAATATGAGGTTTCAAGTACATACGTACATACATAGGTACATGGCAGAATTCGAAATGAAAAATTATAAATACAAATGTCTAAGCCAATTTTTATCAACATCAAGATAACATTGATGTATTTAAATAATAAATATCTTTAGTCTGGAATCAATCTCACTGACTTTACTTATTTTTAAGCGACAGGCCTCTGGTACACTCACTTATCGAATGAATATTGTTACGTTACATAGATAATCAATGATATGAGAATAGATAGTCCTTCTCCGGTCGAGCTGATCCACTTATGCTAAAACTAGAAAAGCTCTCCTATACAAGTCATATATACATCAATAATCTAGTGGCTAGCATGTACGACTGTAGATCCGAGAGCCCTGGGTTCGAGTCCCAGTTCGGGCGAAGTACAATTATTTGTTCAGAGTGAAGTTGGGAAGTTGGCGGTGTAATCTTGGAGAGCCATTAGTTCTGCGCCTGGTCTCTTACCGCAATTGTTTAATGAATGTCCTACCGGAGTTGGAGAGAGAGAATGGAATACGTATTGGACTATAATAAGTAATATCTCCTGCGTATGCCTTTCGCCGTAGCCGTAAACGGTTAGGGGGTAAATAATTTTTTTCCTTAATAATAAATACGTACTCTACTCACCGCTTAGGCATATCAAGAACAGGTATCGCTGTTACAGCAACAAGCATATTTCCAACCGCATATATAAACATTAGGTATAAAATTGTCCTGAAATAACGAAATAAGACAAATTAACAATCTATACTTATAATAAAATTGTAACTAAGCCGAATCTGTACATTAAATATTTTTTGGAAAATCTTATTGAAATAAACATTATTATCGATACAGAGGCCGAGTCTATAGTTTTTATAATTTTTGTCTGTCTGTCCGTTACACACACAGAAAAACCACTGGAGGGATTTTGATGAAATTTGGTATGATGATAGCTGGTTATCTGGGTCAACATATTACTTCTGTTATAGATACTTTTTACCGCGGGTAAATGTGTCATTTCTGAGAAAAATACAAAAACTGCAATGTAAGAGTATACTAATATATGTAAAACCTAATAATTTGGTTTTTGGTCATCTGAACGCGGGCGGAGCCGCGGGCAATGCTAGTTAATCAATAAGACAATGTATTATTTTTCTGTCTCTATACGGTGAGTTATAAAACGTTAAAAAAAGGGTACTAATAAGTTTGTTTTAATTTTTTTATCGTGTAGAAAACTTAAGGAAAACTATCAGACTAATCAAATTACATACAATATATGTATATTTACTCTAAAACTCAAACTCTTTGTCTCCTCATTAGTAAATCTATTGAAATAAATAACTCATTAAGCGATATGTTCTAAAGATATATGCTTGAAATTGATATAACTTTTTTATTTATAAACCGATCGAAATAAAACAAATACTAAATGTTAAGTGAAGCTTACCATAATACATTAGTGAAAACCACAACCAAATCGGTTAAGCCGTTTTTGAGATCAGCGCGCAAAAACGCACAGACAACAACAAAAAATCTAAAAACCTAGATAGAATCTAAAGCAATGATTGCTTTAGGTTCTATTGCGTTAATAAAGAAGTTAAGTAAACAATTTTATTAGATACACATATATTTTCAAAATTATTATATTGCTTTATTGCAGTTGTTCTTAGAATATGCTCAATGAATAAAACATATTTTAAGAACAAAACAAAATAAATACTTACCTAAATTTGCCAAGATAATTGTCAGCAAGGATTCCACCCAAGATTGGGAAAAAGTAACAAAATGTACTGAACACATGATATATTTCTGTCGCTTCTTCGTCGGTAAAGTTTAACTTACTTCGTAGATAGAGCGTTAGAAATGCTAAAAAATATTTGGTTCATTATTAAAAAGTTAATATACTGACGATATTAAAAGCCTTTAATTTACTTTTACAATTTATTTAAATTTTTAAAGTGATATCTTCTATTAAGGCTTGGATGGGGAATAAAATGTAATAGAGGGAGAGCCCGTGAACGCCAGACCTTCGTCATTTTATGAAGGCTGAATGGATGGATGAATGAAGGCTTATGAAAAATGTTCCAAACAAGTTGGGAGGCATTTCTAAGAAAATGTTGCAAATGGTCACCAAATTTGTAGCGCTAAGAATTGACTTTATTTTTGATGGTGTGTAATAAATGCTGTGCTAGCAGTCTTATAAATCATCTAATTACTACCCAAGTATACCTATATATAAAAATCAGCTTTTATACTATAACGTAAGTAGAATTATAATTTCATGAAAAGAGTGTCTGGCAAGAGTTTGCCACGATGTTAAATGTCTGGCATTGAATGACGTGATTTTTAATAATATTCTCAAGGTAATACCAAAAAATCACACTTTATTATTTGACGAATTTAGATCGATATTTTACACACCTTTAGTACCATGTACCTGCCAAAGCCACCATAGCCTGAACTTCATAATGGTCCATCGTTCTTATCTGTGTTGGGAGCATGCGCTGACAAACTTTCAGCTTTTATAAAATGACGAAGGTCTGGCGTTCACAGGCTCTTAGGCCATAAGTCGTCATCGACATGGTCACGTGACGTGTTAACGCTAACGCTCAAGTGCCGATAGAGGTCGAAATCACATAAATGTAAACAGTTTTAATTTACAAATTTTAATTTAAGATCAAACAATTAATTTGAATATCCAAAAATAACAACTGTTTGTTTATAATTTAATGTTTTCAGTTCTGTCGGCAGTCCTCATGACTGCTTTTTTTTGTCAATGGCTTTATAGCGTACCAGTTGAGCATTGGTTACTTCGATAATAAATTTCACGTACAATGGAAAAGATACAAGGAAGATTAAATTTACACAACACGCGCTAGATAGATAAATAATTTGAAGTTATGATTTTTATCTTAGAAAAATCTGGGAAAAATATTTGAGATTTAAAACATGATCAAATGAAGGCTGATGTGTACATACGAATCTTAGGCATATATTTTTTTACTTAATTTCAAAATGTCTATAACTAGAAAACTATTTATTTTATATTTTCACTTTACCTATAATTTTATATGATTTCCACTTAAACTATTACGGAAACAAAATAATAAATTATAATAACATTACGTTTAATTATATTCACATGAACGATACGATTCGAATAAAACAGATTAACAAATGAAAACGATGCAAATAAATAGCTATTTTAAATCGAATTTAAATTAAAACGCGAGCAGAAAATGCTTAATTAAACGTTTACCGTTTTGTACACTTTAACAAACAGACAAGTGACCCGAGAGGGACTAAATTTTGAATGATTGAGTTCTGATTAAATCTTTCTCACTCTTAAATTTAAACAAAAATAGTTTTTTATAACAGAATTGTAAGATTTAAATTCATCGATTAACCCTTTCGTACTTATAGAGCTTGAAAATTGTCCACAAACAGCTCACACTTACTAAGAAAACTTTTTGTAAAACGGACTACAAGTCTACAAATAAGCGATAATACTTTCTTGTATGCCTTTCTATGTAAGTGATTAACATAAAGATGATATTAACAATTTAAACAATATTTTCAAATTAACTACTTAGTAAAAATAGAGTTGTCCCTTTTAAAAGAGGGAAGAGTGTACTGTGTACCATATTTAGTATGAATAAACAAATTGAACTAAGTACCTACATATTTGGATGCCATGTGTTATCATAGTAACGCATGCACAAACGAATGAAGAAGATATCTATGTCATATTAATTAAAACGGCAGGGCGGCTATAGAGATATAGATCTTAGTTAACAGTTAGTTTACTATAAAACATACAATAGCAGAACATAAAATACCAAATTATGAGTACCCGAATATATATAAAATAAAAATACATAAAATAAAAATTAGCTCACCTCTCATACCAGAATAAGAAAATCTCTCGCAAAATTCTGCAAGGATTATTATTATAACAATCCTTGGGAAACGCTCTTTTACCTAGAAAAATATTGGAATATGGAAAATGAAAATCGTAAATTTAATTTTTTAATAGTTTCAAAAAGTTATTCAGCCTAATTAATCACAATTATTTTTAGATTTTTTGTTTATTAAAAATCAAAAATATGCGAACTCCTTTCTTTTTTTTAGTTAGTTTTTTAATATAACTTGTATGTAAGTCGAAAAGTATAGTGTACAAAATTAAGACTTTTTCGCAACTGAGAATTCCTTGAAAACTTTTCTTATCTTCACTTTTTGTCCTTGCTTTGTGCATTAATTATTTTTCCTAGTGTAGTTTAATGCCGTTTTTTAGAAAATGACAAGAGTTTAAAAAAAAATACACTTAAGTTTACTTATGTACTTTTTTATAATATCAATATTAGCATTCAGAATTATAGAATATCAGCAAACAATAGCTAAGAATTAACTACATAATAAACACAAATAAACAATTATTGTAATTTGCACTTTTAGGATCACTTAAAACACACTGAAATATATGAAAATAATAAAACCTATTATAGTATTATATGATCTGTGATAAAACCAACCGAACTTGACGTCTCCCCATTAAAACTTTTAAGATCCTTACTAACTGTCATCTTACTCGTAAGTACAAAATATATTTAATAATGTCTTACTTATGAATTTATATCTTTTGCTAAATAAATAAGACGTCATGACACATTATATCTTATTTATAATTTAACGCAAAAGTGAGATTAGTCAAGTTCGAGTCTGACTCATTTACCGAGGGTTTCTAACATTAAATGTGTTTGTAAGTTTTTAGAAGCGTACCTAATATTTCAGAACCCAGTATTGCTTTAAATTAAAAAAAAAATACATGTAAACACAAGAACAACAAATAAACACATCTCACATAGTGTAACGAACTAGGTAGATTGTATGCGCCTTTTTTTTTAAACAACAATAATTGCATACTTGTAATTATTACATTATGAAGTGCCATATCTATTTTTTTAATTAATCGTAATTAGACAATAGCGTAATGTAAAATTAGACCCCATCGTTCCTCATCTATACATATAATAAAATTCTAAGTCAAATCTGTACATTAAATATGTTTTGGAAAATCTTATTGAAATAAACAATATTATCCATACAGAGGCCAAATCTACCGTTTTTAGAATTTTTGTCTGTCTATTTGTCTGTGACCGCATCACGAAAAAACCACTGTGCAGATTTTGATGAAATTTGTTATTATGATAGCTGGTTATCCGGGTCAACACATAGGATACTTTTTACTGTGGGAAAATATCTCATTTCTGAGCTAAACGTTAAGACGTAACTAGGGGCGAGCCCGAGCAGAGCGAGGGTGAGACGCTAGTTTAAGATATAAATAAAGTATGTACAATAGTCTGAGTAAATCGGCTAAATATATAACCTTTACGAAGTTATATTAACTATTCCGGGTTTATCACCGAAACCCTAATGAATCAATTAAACTAGCATCCGCCTCCGTCTTTATGTTCATAATAAAGTACATTATGTAAAATAATGCAAACAATTTGAACCCAATTTCTATAAAAGATATATACATACATAGGTGTATCTATAATCATTATACAAGACTTTATATGTTTTTAAGTAATTAATCAGTTTTTATAAAATTTACAAACAAAGTTCAAAACATACTATTATATTTATTATATACTTAACATTGAAATATTTAGTATTACGCTACACGTTATACAAATTTGCTAAACAAAACACCTTAGTGTTTAATTAGTCTGAGATCGTCAACATTAGCGTAACCTTAACTCATGGTTATTGTTCGTGTGTCATGCTTTCAGTATGCTACTGCTTCAGACTAAAAGAAATAGGGCGCATTTACACGAAGAGAATTTCTCGATTCGAAAAAACGAATATTAAAAGAGTATAAAAAAAAATACATGACTGCGTAAAAAGCGAACTCGAAAGTTTAACACCTCCAGGTAAATTTCTAAGAAATTAATTAAATTTCTAAGAAATCTATTGTTAACTGTAACGTCGGCGTGTCCGCGGTCGTGGAGCGATTAATGCAATCGGAGACATTTATCTTTCATCCTCCATAATTCTAGGTCTAGGTCTTGGAGTAAGTGTGTCTCCGAGTAAAGGCGCTTAGTCCACGTAGCAAGTTCCCGCCGTAAAAGTATCCTATCCAGACAGACTGACAGATAGACAAAAATCATAGATTCGGCGTCTGTATCGATAATAATAACTATTTCAATAACATTTTCCAAAAAATACTTAATGTACAGATTCAACTCAGCTAGAATTTTATTATATGTACCTATAGATATAGGCTGCAGTTTAGTATATGGGACGCAGCCCCTGGAAGAGAGGGTGGTATTTTTGGATAGGGGAGGCAATTGGGAGTCCGAATTTATATAATTTATTTTGAGGAAACGAAAGAGTCAAAAGTTATTGAGACTTATAATTTCAACATTTCCATACCTTATTATGACATTACTGCCAATTTGACACTTGAAAATGTGCCAAAATGATCTTCAAATAATGAGTCAAATCTATCTCCGAATTTTGAATTAACATAAAGCACTTAAAATAGCAGGGGTTCTGGGTTTGAAATAAAAGAAAGACCTAACGAGAAGGCTAAGGCGGGAGCTAAGCTACGCTTCGCTCCCGCCTGTGCCTTCTCAACCTAAATTATCCAAGTCGGAGTGTCACTTAATCTAAAATAAAATATAATACACTTAGATTAAAAAAATTGTCTACTTACGTTTATAAATTACATGAGTACACTTAAAACTATAGTAATACTATTAAAAGAAAAACTAGAAACGAGCGTATTATACGAAAATTAACAAAAGCTAATAACTACTGGAAAACGATATGAGAAAAATAACTATGAAAAGGAGAAAAAAAATATGAAAACCTGAACGCGTTTAATCAATACAGATCGTTTTCACATAAACTATTTGTCATCCATGACATAAACTATCGAACTTCGCGGTATTTTATGACTACCCGCCAAAAATACTGAAAAGTATTCACAGATAATAAAATCAAATAATGGTTTAAAATTTTTTGCTAAATAAATGTAAATTTATTATATAACTGAATATTTTCCATAAATCAAATAAAAACAAATGCATGCATGATTTCAAAATAACATATTTCTATTTTAAAATCTTAGTAATCTGATGACAATATTCACTTTTAATAATATGTAAAACTCTTAACCAATTACGAGTATTACGCGGTAATCTGTTGTCCTGAAAACGGTATAGGTAAAACAAAAATTGAAAGTTTTGTAAAATGCGCACACCGACAGTCAAAAAATGACAGGATGAAGCTAGCTGCATTCCTTTTACAAACAGAGTGACATAACTTAAGGGATGAATTCTTTAGTAGTTATACCAAAGAAGTATATTATTATTAAGTTTTTACGTGCATAGTGCATACATACTTGTACATATAACACACACATAAGTTGTTTTTTTTGTTATTATAACGCACCAATAATAAAGCATTTCATTTCAGCCTATTTTCTGAATAACAAAATCTATACATATAATAAAATTGTAACTAAGCCAAATCTGTACATTAAATATTTTTTGGAAAATCTAATTGAAATAGACATTATTATCGATACAGAGGCCGAATCTATAGTTTTTAGAATTTTTGTCTGTCTGTCTGTTACTGCATCACGGAAAAACCACTGGAGGGATTTTCATGAAATTTGGTATGATGGTAGCTTGTTATCCGGGTCAACATATAGGATACTTTTTATCGCGGGAAAATATCTCATTTCTGAGAAAAATACAAAAACTGCATTGTAAGAGTATACTAATACGTAAAATCTAAGAATTTGGTTTTTGGTCACCTGAACGCGGGCGGAGCCGCGGGCAATCCTAGTATTAAATATTTTGACGACTAGTGAAACCGTCTAAGCAATATTTACATGCATAAAAATATTTGTTTTTCTAATAAGTCACATATAAATGAACACAACATAAATAGTAACAAATTTATAAGTTCATACATTTTTATTAATCACTATAATAGTATTATCGCTTTACAAAAGCATGAAACGGAACATGTCACTGTCAATTTTAAAATATAAGAAACGGTTACGTCAAGCTCAAATAAAATAACAAGTTTCATCCAAGTTTGTTTGGTTTCTTATTCGTTCAATTTTATAATTTACAGCATAATTAGTATTAAAAATTATGTTAAATCAAATAATATAATGACATAATATATATTTCAAATTATAATTATTAAAAGTTTTATGTTTTAAATCGGTAAATATTTGTTTTAGTGTTTTTTTTTGTTGCAGACGAAATCAGGAATAAATAATTATTATAATTACAACAGTATTATGTTGTTGCGTGGTACTTGTTATAGATTTTCAAGATGCCAAGTTCAAGAATACCTTCGCCTGCTAGATCCCAGGGTGTAATATCGACGCCTCGTCGAGATAAGTTGCGACGACGAACACGCAGTATTTGTTCACCAGCACAATCTAATGTCTCAGTTCGTCTATCTACTCTTGTATCTTACTCTTATAAAATCTCACCTATGCCCAACAGACAATCAGTACTTGCTGATGAAACTGATATTGAAATTGTACCTGGCCGTAAGTACATTATTGTTTTGATATGGTAACGCGTTATAACTACTTTCAATAAGCAACTAAAAAAATGTATATAACATCTTGCAATAAGAGAACTTTGATATAATTATATTGTTATTAAAATAACAATACTCTCTGTAATATGGTATAATATATAATATTAATAGAAAAATAATTATATCCCTAAACAAATATAGAGAGGTTTAAACTAAAGTATAAATTAATTGGGGGTAATGAATATAATTATTAATAAAACACTTTATTTAATACATTCTGAGATTTATGGGACTATTCGATATTTAATATATCATATGTGGATAATAACTGACTACCTTTTCAGAGTTTTTCTGCAGATTTTTGACACTGATAAAATCTAAAAAGATAGTTAATTTTCGGACACTATTGATAACTCAAATTTTACATTTGTAAATATAATGCATTTGAAGATAGTTACCCATTGAATTTTAAAACTTTATACATTATATTTCATTTAGTGATACAGCTAACTCATTATAGGATAGTAATACTTGGTACTAAGGTTTGAACTTGATACATTAGTATATTATACTCTTTAAAATCTTTTCTTTTTTCTACAATAATATTATGTTCTCATGTTTGCTCGTCAATTATTTCTCTAAGTTTGTTTTTTAATATAATCATAATAATAAACTTATGACATATTTTAGTTACATCCCTACTGAAATAGTAATGGAGTGGTTTTATAGAACTATTATCTAGCTTATTATATGTTTATTTTATTTATTCACAGAAACAGAAAACAAATTAAAAAATGACAACTAACTTATTAATAGCTAACATTTCATTTTAAATTGTCTATCCAGTAATATTTCTATCCATCTTCAATATAAATTGAACACAATATTATAATTATATTTTATCTACTTTGTATTTTAAACTTATTGATACTTAAACTCTTTGGTTTAACTATATGAAAACTGTAATAACAAAGAGTATAATTACTTAATAATTCCCTTTAACAAAACAGACTTACTTCACTTTAATATTTATTTTGAAATACTTGATGAAATTTGCAAGTGACCATGTGTTCATCTTCCACAAGATATAAAAATAATTTAAAATGTACATTTGCTTGTACAATTTATAATATTATATAATATTAATTATTAATATAACATTAATTATTAAGCGTGCTTTCTAACTCCATTGGGGTTTTTGTTTGATATGAGTTTCTAAATACAAAATAATATGCCACTTGACACAGTCATGGCCTCACTGTTTTCTTCCGATTTCATTAGTAACTGGAATATCATCAATGTTGTCTCATTTTAGGTCAAAGTTGGTGGAAAAAATTGGGTGATAATTCTAGAGATGTAATGGACGTTCTGGAAACCAAAGATATGGCGGAGATAAAAAATGTGGCAGACGAATTTGATGTAGAAGTTTTAAGGTATCATTTGAAATATTTTATACTTATTTATTCACTAATATTGAAAAGATAGTCTTGATTATTTTTATAAAGTAGCAACTTTCCCTTGCTTGGCTCGGGTGCATCCCTAGATATGTTTTAATTTTTTTGAGCAGAATCCTAATTATTTTTTTAAAATAAAAGTATTCTAAGTTACTCTTTGTATCATCCGCTATCGCATGTAAAAGTCCCATCTAAATCATTCCAGCCATATCAGACATTAGCCGAAACAAACGGACAGACAAAAAAATTAAAAATTGTGTTTTTCTTATAAGTACCATAATATATATGTTATAACTTATAATAGGTAAGTTCAAATGCTTTACGTTTTAAGTAAAAAGCTGTTATGTTAACATTACACACACACACTTTAATTTTATTTATTTATATAAATCATAATTAATTGTACCCACATAACTCACTCCTATTTAAAGAATAGTGTGGCTATGTTAATATATTCAAGTTATAAAGATTCACTTCAACTTCAATCAATTTCTTACTCATATTAAATTTAATTCAATGTTAGATGTAAGAAAAAAATATAAGCGTTATTTTTATGTCCCTTGAATAAAGACTAATACAAACCCCCATACATACTTCCACCACCTTTTCATACCCTTAAGGGATGGTTGCCGGGATAAAAACGTCCTTGCCAGGGTCCCAAACCATCTCTATACCAAATTTCATCTAAATTAGTTCAGCTAAAAAGGTAACAGATGGACAGAATTTCGCTTTTATAATATTAGTATGGATAGCACATCATGTGTATAAAATAGATTTTATGCTTATTTTGAATTCTCTAGATAAACTGTATATACCAACATTTTAATAAATCATACTTAAAAAAAATTTACTTATTAATATTGCAGCCAAGAGAAACAAAACTACACACTAGACTTACCTGAAAGCAGTGATGGAGAATCCATTAGCAGCATAGTAATCCCACAACGAAAACTCTTCACCCAAAAAGAGCATAATCCTCAAAAGAAATTTTCTCAAATCCAGAATAATAGAGACAGTCAATCTAAACATAAGAGTCACATTGATCACGACAAAGATATAGAAATAGCTCCCAAAAATTTATTCAGTCAACCGTCTAAACCAAGAAATAAGCCTGTGTTTCCGGCTGCTTTACTCAACATATCAGCTAATAAAACGATGAATAAAACTAAAGAAATGCCTGTAGCTGAAGTTAAAGGTCAGGTTCGTAATCTCTTTGGTAACAGACCTGGTACAAAACGTAAAAACATGTTTGCTGCTGATTTCATTGTATCAGAGAGTGAAGATGACATCCCAGATATACAGCCTAAAGTATTTGGATTTCAAAAGAATGTAGAAAAGAAACGTCGAGAAAGTTCCATTTCTCAAGCGTTGCAACATTCACCCACATCGAGTATAGACTTGGAATTGGATGACTGGAAACTTTTACCTTCCTCAACTATGGTTGGGAATCAACTAGAAGAAACTACACCTGTAAAACGAGCGAGACTCAGTAAACTATCAGAAGTCAAAGAAACTGAAACTTTATCAAATAAAAATAAAACCTTGAACAAAACTAACCAATCTAGCAAATCAAATATCGCCCAAAATAAATCGAAAGTATCCTCAAATTCCAAATTAGACGTTGAAAATTCAAAATTGCAAAATGATAAAATAAATATAAATGGTCAGTCAGACGATCAAGCAATAAATAATTCGAACAGTCGCCTAACTAGAAACAAAAGCAAATCAATTCGTGAAACTTCTTTGTTAGAAGCTAATCGATCTAAAACTATAAATAAATCTAAAAATATTACGAGTAAGGATCAAAGTATAGTAAATAAAGTTAATGATAATCAAGAAAACATAAATTTGTTACAAGATGAAGGAAGTATACAAAATGAACTACTTCAAGATGACGGCGAAGATGATGAAAATTTTACTTTAGAATATGAAAATGATGATGAACAAAATAATGAATGTCTTGATACTAATGCTAACGGCGGGAGACAATCAAAAGATAAAAATGATACAATGAAACAAACAAGCATTAAGAAGACTGTAGATGAAGAAAAACAAAGTGTTCATAAAGCTATAAATAAAAGTTCTTATAATGAGCAAGAAAATATAAACAAAAGTCGACAAAACAATGTCAATATGGACATTGATATATTCGATGGTAATGCCACTGAAAAACCAGTTCAACTGAACAATAAACAAGAAATCCAAAATTTTAATAATGAAAAACTGAGCGAGAGTGAAAATGTTAAAAATAAAACAAATGTATCAACACATAACACAAGTAAGAAGCACAATAAAAGTAAGAATAAGCAAGATGAAATAGTGGAAGCTGAAAATAAAGTTAATCAAGAAAATCATAATAACACAAGACAAAATAAAAATTCTCAAATTGAATCTAACAGTGTAAGTCGAGAGATGGAACATGAAGATGATAATCAAAATGAAAGTAAACCCATAAGCGAAGAAAACGAAGAAGAAAATGAGAATAATAAACAAAATAATACAAAGGAAAATGAAGAAGAAAATGAGAGTAATGAACAAAGTAATGCAGAGGAAAATGAAGAAATTGCGTCTGATATTGAAGACCAAAATGAAAGTAATGAAATTCAAAAAGAATCCCAAGAAGATGAAACAGAACAAATCGATTCGGAACAAGAGCAAAATGAAAATGATATGGAAAATGAAACTGAAAAAATGGAAGAGAACCAAGAATTAAATCAAAATGATAAAGATGAAGAAGATGATTCCGACAATGTTAAACAAGATGATGAGAGTATCACTTCTAATCATGAAGAAGAAGAAGAAAATGTATCGACCGTACATAAAACCGATGAACAACAAAACGAAAGTGTTGAAATTGACGAAAATGAAGAGGAAGATAAAGAAAATGAAGAACAAGATATGGAAAATGAAGACCAGGATTTGGAAAACGAAGAACAAGATATGGAAAATGAAGACCAGAATGTGGAAAATGACGACGGAGAGGTAGAAAATGAAGAAGAAGATATGGAAAATGAAGACCAGGATGTGGAAATTGACGAACAAGAGATGGAAAATGAAGATCAAGATGTGGAAAATGAAGAAGAAGAAGATGAAGAACAAGAAATAGTAAATTATGATCAAGAATCAAACGAAAGTGAAGTTGAAGAAAATGAAGACGAGAATGAACAAGGTGATCACGATCATACAAGTGAAGAAGAAAATGACAATGAAGAAGAAGTAACTGGAAATAAAAATGATGAATCACCGAATATCACCCACGATACAACCGGAAAGCATCGAGATATTCAAAAAGTGACATCACCTGAAGCCATTCTTCACGACAAAACGAACCAAATTGATTCATTCATGGCGGAAGGACGAAACACAAGTGTAAGAAAAACTAAAAGCATTTTGGCCAAAACGCTAAACATTCGTCCAAGCTTGGCCCCAGTGAGAGAGAGTACGGGGTTTTCAGACGGAACAAGGAATTCAAGTGCCGATAACTCTGGCTGGGATTCCCATAGAACGACAAGAAAAACTATACGAGAAACTTTCGGCAAAGAATTCACAACTCGAAAGTCCCTTCGAGCTTTAGTTATGGAGAAATCGGCCAAACGACATACAAATTTTATGGAAAAACGAGCAGACTTAACAGAAAACGTGGATAATACTAAAATACCGCAAGCTAATTCGACGGAATTGCCTCATTTTGATTCGTATGAAGATCCTGAACCGGTGCATGTCGATGAAACTACTGAATCTGATCCCGACCAACATGAGATGTCGAAGAGAACGCGACAGACAACACTAGAAATGTACTTGCAAAAGATTAAACAAGACAATTTGGAACGAAAACGTAAAATTGTAAGTTTTATTTTATTATCAATCAATTAATATTTTTACATAGTAGTGTTGTTTAATGAAGCAGCAGAAAACAAAGCAGTCTCTCTCATGTTTATCGTATAGGATTCGAAACACTGGGTGTTCTAAAAATCGAAGATCAATTGAAACTTAACTTATATTTCATGTAGAATGTTACATATTTCTTTAGATTTTCTTATTCCCCTTACACTTTTTGTATATTAATGTCTTCTGTTCTTTATTTCTTTTTCTTAATTTAAATACTATTTATTTATTTTTAAAAATACAACCCATTTTGAATTTTTAAAAGTTGAGGAAAACATCGAATTACAACTGTGACAAAATCCGAAAAGATAGCTTCGAATTACGCATTATTTTACAATTACTAAATATTTTTGATAAATATTTCCTTCCACAGGAAGAGCAAGTGAGAAACTCACTAAAAACGACAACGCAAACCTACAATCTGTTCAAAGTTCCACGAAAACCGGTCCGCCGTGTGAAACCAGCGGAGAGCAAGCCCAGGCCCAAACAAAATAGACCCCTTGTGTTTATGGACATGTTGCCTGCTGAAGTTATAGAGGACATGAAATACAAACCCCCGAAGAGATTCAAACCGAATAATGCGTCGTGGATTACTAAACGTCTGTACAAGTTTTTGGAAACTAAGTTAGAGCCTAAGTAAGTTGTCTTTAACTATTAAAAAATCTATGAAATATTATTTAAATAGTTCCACTTTTTACACATTTTCCAAAAACCAAAATAAATCTGAGAAGAAATCCGAAAACATAGTTTTATTTAAAATACTTTACCATAACAAAACAAAATTCCAGTTACAACTACAAAGCAAGGGTGCGGGCAGAGAAACTGGTGGAAACAATTTACAACTTCACAAAAGACGTAAGAAAGCAGCACGTAGCGCCATTGCACATGGTGGACGCGCTCAAACAAGAAATGGCGCGTTTGAATATTGTCAAAACACACTTTGATTTCTACGAGTTCTTCCAGGAGTACATGCCGAGGGAGATTAGGATTAAGGTATGTTTTAACCTCCTAAGCAAAAATGGTGTTATAAGTTTGACGTGTCTGTGTGTGTGTCTGTCTTTGGCATCGTAGCTCCCAAACGGATGAACCGAACCGGTTTTGTTTTTGTTTGAAAGGTGAATTAGTCGGGAATGTTCTTAGCTATGTTTGATGAAAATCGATCCAAGATGATCGAGGGTATTTTAAATTTTTAATTTTTGTTAACTTATTGTTTATTTTTGAGTAATGGGATATTGATGCTTTATTTAAAAAAAAAATTATATTCAAAGTAAAATTATTTTAATTATTTTATTAAAACACCAAAAGGCAGAGGACTGTGAGACTTACTAAAATCACCAGCAAAACTATTTCTATTTAAATTTATATTTCTAACTTTCTAACATTAATTCATAGAGTATAATATACTATGTAGTAGGATACAAGGTTTTTTGTAGAAATGTTTGCATTTAGAGAGTGACAGGCTGATTTTTACCGGGAGATTATCTCATTCCCACGGGAAAATACGTTATAATACAACCCGCAACAAGGGTGCGGGCACAAGGGGCGGGCGGGTGCTCATCATACCTATTTACATATATAGTCTATCTATTCCACACTAACCGTTATAACGTACCTAGGGGCGAACCCGAGCGAAGCGAGGGTGAGTCGCTAGTTCTACATTATACATATGTATGTGCATTATGCACTTACACTCTTTTGTTGGAATTTTTCATAGCTGATATGCATAAATGTGTAAGAGTGGGTAATTTGTTCCTTTAGAGGAGAACGAAGCAACACATATTATTAAGTATATTTATAATATGTATGTATTTGAAGTTATATATGTGTAGTGTATCAACTATCTGGTATCCATAAACAGGCCTCGTAGCTTACCATGGAACTAGATGGCGCTGTATGTTGATGTACCAATATATTTATTTTAATTTACAAAGTCTTGTTGAAAATAATAATTTTCCTTTCAGGTGATTCCGGACGTCGTGAACAACATATCTCTGCCAAAGCATGGCGTGTTTGCGGATATTATAAGATAGCTTTCAAGTAATTTGTCTTTTAACTTCTGGTATAAGTTTTCATTTAAATGTCTGTTAATTTGTATTAAATAATGTATTTTTATATGAAGATTCATTTTTCATACATACAAAAACCTTTTTTATTTTTTAGTTTTTTTTTTGAAGACGGTTTTTGAAACGGCTAAACCGATTTTGACGGGACTTTTACTGGCAGATAGCTAATGTTGTTAGGAGTAACTTGAGCTACTATTATTTAAAAAAAAGTGTTCCACTCAAAAAAAAGTACCTAGGGTAAGTTGCTAGTAATAAATAAAAGTCAGCTAATGCTAGAATTTGTTTATTTGAAAATAGGATACGAATGTATACCAGTTACATATAACGGAGCACCCAACACGAACTGCTACTTAATACAATACTTCATGATTATTTTATTAAAAAAAACTCTTTAAATAATTCCAAAGCTATATAAATATTAATAAGTTTAACTCTCGAATAATAGAGCAAAAAGCTTATTCTATACTTTTTTTTAACCAGAACTTAATATTGGAATATAATTCACAAATGTTTTGAATGTATTATTTAATAATCATACTTAATAATAACGTCATATTTAATGAACTAAGCGATTTTCACATACACAATAACATTCTATACATGCATAAGTACCTATTACAATTAATTTAAATGTATCAAATTTAATTCAAATAATTATAGCCTGTTTGTTTATCGAAACCACTTCGTCTTTCTATTATTGCCAAAATCATACTTATTGAAAGTGTCTCATTTTGAACGAAAATCCCAGTTGTCTGTTTGTTCGTTGTTAACTGTATCCAATAAGGCCTCATTTTCGCCCTTTGATTTTTTTTTCAGTTCTAAAAACTAGTAATAGAAAATTAACTAATTATTTAAACAATTGTCAACCTCGAAAAGATCATGGACCATTAATAATTATAGCCAACTGCGAAAGTAGTCAATATTTACCTCTAAACAAAAAAAACTCACCATCCCTTGTAAGCACAAGGCCTATTCAAACTAGCCCGTAAGTCATGTTTTCCATTTATAAATTTTGACAAACTTCTAAAAGAACAAGTTGTATATTGCATATATTTTGTCGATATTTTCGCGTATTGTACATAAATCGATTTTCAGCATTATTTTTTTAATGCAACATTACAGAATAATTGTAAAAATCGATTATATAGATAAAAGTAATTAAATTGCTTTAATATTTCAAGATGGTAGACGTCAGAAAATTATAGGATCATAGACAAACAGAAGATCGAGGAATAGTGTGAAATAAATTTGAAACTACATCAAAATCTGCTCAGTAGATTTATTAATATCAATATTCAATATACATACATATAAAATGACGAAGTATATACCAAAGCGGAATCTATCTATAGTTGAATACGCGTTCGATGAATATTCCATACAAAATACATTTGAATATCACAAATTGTGAGTAAAAATAAACAATCTGTACTACGAGTAGAGAGTGTAATAAAATCCTTTCGAATACTATACATTCAGAATTGCTATTTCAGTTAAAGCTACGTTTTATTTAAGCGAAATATCAACTATTTAGATTCAAAGCGAATATATTTGTGATCCCGAACAGTGAACGAGGGCGGTTTTTGTTGCCACCAGTCGGCGCCACTGGAGAGTAAGGTCCTAACAGTGTTGAAAAAGTATATGTTAGTACATTAATAGTAAATTAATTCAATATAATAATAATAATTGTTAGCGCGGAACCAGTTTACCAGAATTTTATTTTAAATCTATACATATAATAAAATTCTGAATCGAAACTGTACATTAAATATGGTAGGGGAGCCCAAGAGGGGACTTTCTGTAGTGTAGGCAAAAATCGACTATAAAGTTTATATTGATTTTTGCCTCTTAGGCTTGTGCAAATCGGCAGATTATTAAATTGGACACTTTTCAGGATGTGACTAGCCTACCACACCTTAATCTGACGGTTTCAAGTATTTTTACCTTATCAAAACATTTTTTAAATATTTTAATCGGCTTCCCTAGACGCGCCCCTTTATATAGAAGACTTATATTGTGGTGAAAGTACTCAATAGAGTGCAAGGTAACCTCTTTTATGTTAATCTGCCGCGCTCGAGTAACTACAGAAAATCCCCTCTTGGGCTCCCCTACTAATATTTTTATGGAAAATTAAATAGTCATTATTATCAATACAAAGGCTGAATTTATAACAGTTTTTAGATTTTTTTGTCTGTCTGGAAGGCATCACGAGAAAACCACTGGACAGATTTTAATAAAATTTGGTACGATGATAGCTGGTTATCCGGGTTAACATATAGTATACTATTTACCGCGGGAAAATATCTCATTTCTGAGAAAAATATACAAAACCTTCATAATAACAAGATGAATTAAATATTGAGGGCACAATAATTATGAATATAAATAATAAAACTTTGCGATGAAAAACTTACAAACAGTAAACATTCAATATCATTTGACATTACTAGAGACCTCACTCTACCATAGCGCTTCTCGCGGCGAATTCAAGCGCGGTAGCCCTCATTTCACAAAATTATTTCTTATACAATATATGTATATAGAAAAGATAAAAACCCTATTAACTCTATACATTGAACGACATGAAATCATCGCAAAATGTAAATCCAACCTATATTATAAAGTTAGTATTAGGATTCTTACCAATGAGAATATATTTGTATCTCACGATACATATTATTTTTACTTCGGACCGACTTCAAAATGGAGAAAGTACTGCATTTAGTTGTGTATATACATACATCTTAATATATATATTTCTTGTGTGCGTGTGTATGTGACTGAACTCCTCCTAAACGACTGGACCAATTTTGATGAAATTTTTTGTGTGTGTTCAAGGGGATCTGGGAATGGTTTAGATTCACAATTGAACACGGTAGGTGGCGCTGCTGTCGGTGTGACAAAGGGTTTGTTTTTTTTAGTAGTTTGATCGCGGGCGAAGCCGCGGGTACAGCTAGTATATATATATATTCTCGATATTTTTTGATTCGATTATCATCCATCCACGATAAATACCCATACAAATTTCAACATAAACAAATACTCTGTCACTTTGGAGTCGGTATGTCTTTATAGTTGAATATAATCAACGATACATACAATTAAACGATTAAACAAAGCAATAGGTATTTTAAAATGAGCATAAAATAAAAAATAATAATACTTACAAACGAAAACTAACTAAGAATTAAAGCGCGGTAAAATTGCGACAGGGGTGGAGTTCTTAATATTAAAATTTATTAAATTTTGATTTTGACTTGATTACAATTCCTACATTATAATCGCGGATATAAAATGCCTACAAAACGCTATCCTAATAATCGTAGGGATGCGCCAATAATACACGATTACATACATTTTCATACAAAATGGTACAAAATTGGGTAAAAATGACTTGGCACTACTAAGACACAATTTCCGAGGGTAAGTTGGTTTAAATGACCTAAAATTTTTAATATGAATACTTCTGGTTGTTAATAGAGACAACCAAAGTTTCTAGATATTCTCAGAGCTACCGATTATTCGGTTATCGAAGTCAACCGAACTAAAATATTTAGCGCCAGCACTAAAATTGTTTAGAATAAAATGCTAATATTATTCATTATATTATACATACATATTAACTTTATAAAATAATTCGGTTGATTCGGACAACCGAAACAGCATCAATTCGGTTAACCGAATAACTGACACTAAATACGAAAGTACAATAACAAAACGGGATTCTAATCAAACAAATAAGATCACGCAATACTCCTACTATAAATAAATTGTATTAAAAAATAGTAAATGTAATATTTTAAAAGCTACATTTGACTAAAGCAAAAGCCTTGATATAAATCAACAAATTACGCTAAGTCCAGTTTAGATACAATTATTAGGCGATAGCATAAAAAACTAGAAAAATCTGTTATAAAATGTCTAGAAACCGAATTATTTCTCGCTAAGTTAACTTAATAATTATTTCATCATAGTAATATTGTAGCTATATTTGAAAATTTCCAATGACTGAAATACTTAAAATCGTTAATATCAATAAATTTATATATATATATATTTTATCGCCTAATAACTATATAAAGGGACAATAAAGTAAGGCAGTATATTATTAAACTTAAATAAATGTTTATTCTAACACTAAGTAGTTCAATATAACTCTAATTATGCACAATTTTAACTAAAAATCTAACTATATTATTTATCAGTCAAATAAATTTTAAGCCAAATATTTTTCGTACATCAATTACAGTATAATTATAGTTCATTTACACATTAATTATTAGAATAATTTTGATCTAAAAAAACATAATAAATAATTAATATATGCCTTAAAGTTGAATAAAGATAAGGACGTTTAAAAAATTCACAATTCATTCTTATAATAACATATATATAACATTATAAAGTGAAGAAAAAATACAAATTTCTTAACAATGCTGTCTCTATGATAAGAATATTATTTTAAAATGTGACATTTTCGAAAAAACTGCAATTACTCGTATATATTTTAATTTTTAAGTAAAAATGCATTCAGACTATTTGCACATTCGATACACAATTTTATTATTATTATATTATTTACTATAAAATAAAACTAAAATTATTTTATAAATATAACGCAATATACGAACTTCATATGTCTTTCGAAAACTTGCTAGGTTCTCTCAGACATGCAGGTTTCCTCACGATGTTTTCCTTCACCGAAAGACAAGTGGTGATCAAGTTGCAAATGATTCGCACATGAAAATATCAGAGGTGCGAAACCCGGGATGAGAACCGGCTTCACTCGGTTTCCCAAGCAAGCGCGTTACCACTGCCTACATATAATTACTTCATAATCATTCAAGTTGTAATATAATAAATAAAATGTGCACAAACCTTATTAAGTATGCTACGAGTATAGCAGATTATAAATGCATAATTAGGATGAAAAATTAAATTAAAATAGCTTAGAAAGAGATCATTCATTGTTTTATGGAAAGCTGTTAAGAAAATATAATAAAGGTGAAATATTTTTTTATAACAGTTAGTGCTTCTAAATTAAGCCTATATCAATATTTTTTATCGTAATTTCTATTTGATTAAAAAAATAATGATTAAAAAGTGCAAATATAGGTGGCGAATTCAAAGTAGTTGAAACGGAACGCCATTGGTCAGATCGAATGTGACGTCAAAGTCTATTATAATAGTGCGCTGTTGTTTGGTGCTTGCCATTGAAACTAACAATCTAGACCTGTTTATTTTGATTGCATTGTTCTTAGACTATGACGTCACGCCAAAGGCGAAAAAATGGTGGGCGTTTTAAGTATCCGTAACAGCATATATATTTATTTATTTATTTTATACTAAATTTTAGTTTTTTGGAGCGGGATATTTTTTTACAATTATAAAACGATGTAAGCTATTGTATAAAAAAAATCACACGTACTTCCTATTGATTAAATGTTTTTTTGATAATCATTTTTATAAAACTGTTAACTTCTGGAAATTATAATCTTTAAGAAATTAAATGGCATAAGTTAATTATTTTATAATAATTATACGATAATAAATATCCGCCAAAATAAATATATCTCGAAGCGATACTGTCTACTTAAATCTAAAATAAATCCCAATATTATGACGACCTTTGTTTTTTATAAAAGAATGATGATTTGCCTAAAGCTTATTTTTGTGAAACATGTCAAAGTCAGAAATGTTTTTTTTATTACATTAAACTTAAAAAGCTTTAAAAAATGATACGATATAATTGTAACATAATACATATAAAATTGTTCTCTCGATTATTCATTTACTTTTATATATACATAAAAAAAACATGTCAGTATAATTAAAATATATAACATGAGTTTAAAATCTTGATACAATTTTGTAAAATATTATTATTGTAAGAATATTAAAAAAGTATAATTAACTAAAAACAAGAATACATCGCAGCAAAATAACGATAACTTCAAAAAATACTATTAAGCTCTATTCATAGACTTAAAATAACATCGAGGTTGCAATTCATTTTTTTTAAATAAATCTTCACTTTTTAATTATAATTTTGTGCACAATACAAATAGCTATAAAGATAAGTGCATTTTATTTTGTGAAAATAATCTGATACGAAAATGTAATGATACTGGAATGTAATTTCTATTTATTGAGTTATGTGTAAAGTGTACATTTTTAAATATACTATTTGTCCAAGTTTAAAATTTAAATATATATTATTTAATTCAGTTATATTAAATAACATTAAATTAAATTGTAACGTGATTGAATATTTTTAAGTTCATTGAATCGTTAAAATATTTTTAAATCACTTTTTATTATTATATGTATATCTTAAATATTTTGAAATTTTAAAACAAACCATTCAAAATTACCCAAGTCTAAAATAAAATTCAGATAACTCAAACGAATATAGCGTCAGTATCTTTTACAATTAAAAAAATAACAAACCGTCACTATCTTGGACAAGGCAGACAATAGCAAAAAAACATTGCCATTCGTTTCAAATTATACGACAAATATACATTGACACCTGCATGGAACAACATTGCAACTGGAAAATGAGTCAAATTTAAAAATAGAATTCACTTCCCATACATAAAATGAACATAAAAATAGCACTGAGTTACAATGTTGTTCTTTGCAAGTTTGGATAGAATAAATACACATTCAACGGGGGTGACAAGGCAGTAGCTCCACATAGTTGGCCGGGAACAGTCCAAAGACTCCATGCGGTCCGAGTCCCTGCCACCAGCCGGCGTCGATCTGCTCTATGTGAGTTATTATATCGCCCGGATCGAATGTTATTTCTGATTCGTCAGCTGGAATTAAAATGGAGATTTAATTATTATTAGAGTTCGCCGAGTGGTCGAACTTCGACCAAGATTTTTTTTTTTTATTTAAAAAATTAAAGCTCGTCAATAGGTATTAAACTATACATAATTCTCAATTTGACCACAAACTAACAATAAACAAAAGAATATATATGCGTGTGTGTCGAATACATGGTAGGTGTGTAATTTTTTTTTATTGATTTAATGTATTTTTATGCATAATTTTTAAAAAATATTTGCATTCTGCACTCCTTCTATATGTCTATATAAACTATAAGTGTAGGAAATTTCATACTCCTCTGTCCACGCAATTTTCGTAAAAGAGGGTACAAAGTTTTTGCTTCATGTATTTATTTATTTATTTATTTATTTATTGGTAATCTTACAGCGTTATAAAATTGTTGATATACAGTTAGAGCACAAAGTTATTAATAAATATGGCCAAGATTAGATTACTCTATTAGATATAATAGTGTATGTATTAGACGACAGAGTACAGAGTAATAAAGGAAAAAAAAGTCTGAATAAATTAAATTGATCATACTACTGATATGCCCATCAAACATAATGTGTTTACATGTATGTGCGGGTGTGTACGTATGTATGTGTGTGTGTGTTTGTGTGTGTGTGTGTGTGTGTGTGTGTATGTGCATGCGTTTGTGTGTGTGTGTATATTTGTGAGTATATGTGTTTCTGTGTTATGTGTAATTGTACGGGTCTATGGTAGTTACGGATATATTTACAGTTATGTACACCTATTTATATAGATTATGGGTATATGAAGACATTAAGCATTTTCATTTTTTTTTAAGAGCCTGTTTAGAGAGATGAAATATGTCTAAGTCGCTGTAATATTTGTTATAGGTTCGTGTCAGACGCAGTATGATGCCGTTTTTAGCATATAGTGTTTTTTTTGGTGGTTCGTTTTATTAATATATTGATAATTGTATAAGAGATAAAACTATAGATATTAAAAATTAACTTTTAATTGTGGATTTCGTCTATAGATATTAAAAATTAACTTTTAATTGTGGATTTCGTGGAGTGTTCTTTTCATCAAGGAATATCTCATATGATATTCAAATTAAATATTGACAAATTGATATATGTATTAAACAATGAAATTGGGCAGCGCTAATTCGGGCTATTCTTTGGGCGAATTATTTTTGTTTGCTTGAATAGGTAATAGATATTTGATCCGCAAATAGTTGCAGTGTTTTATTTTATAAATATGTGTAAACTAACGTATGGTAAATATTGTTAAATTCATCCTGCAGTCGAATAAGAAGTAAAAGCGTCATCTGTGAATGTGCACTACATTGCTGATTTTTTAATAATAAAAAAAAATTACGCAAATTTAATATACGAATTACGAGCACATTATTTTGTTTTCCTTTACTTAGTATTTTTTAAAACCATGATATTAATACCTTTTTGAGATCCATTTTTTATCTTTTGTTAATTTTACACAAACTTCAATAACAAATCGTAACATATAATGCCATCCATTGATATTCATACATATAATGAGACCCTCAGAATACAGCATGACGAATAATGAACAAGCACACGTATGTACGCACATTTATAATATTAAAAATAATAATATCCTTTTTCAATTTACAAAATAGTTAAATCCTTTATTATATATATACCTAGTAAGTTACTCAATCTGGATGCACAAAGAAGATTATAGTCTGGAATAGAACATAGATTACTTGTCATCCCGGAAAAATGTACAGTTCCCGTGGGATAAATTTATATATATATATATATATATATATATATATATATATATATATATATATATATATATAGAATAATATTAGTTTGAGTACATAATAATATCGTTACCAGCTTGATAGTCGTAGAGCGCCCTGGCTGCGAGGCCGGGATCATCGTCCAGGTCCTCATATATCGTGCCTTCCTCCTCTAAACCCTCCGGAGACACGTCTGAAATACAGAAACGAATTCTTAATTTTAAACAAATTAGTCTTTTTTCTTAATAATAAATGGCGTTGTACTGAAATATATCATTACATTAAGCAAAAGTGTATATATTATAGCTTATATTTTGCTTAAAACAAAATAATAGATGGATTAAATCATGAAATTTTAAATCAAACATTTCACCAACTCTAAATTAATTTTAACTTTTGTTTCTAATAATCTACAAATAGACTATTTGAAAAAAAGATTCATGTAAAAGCGTCAATGAAAGTCATCAAAATGGTAGAACTATTATTAGTTTTAATGTTAACGTAATTATTCCACCTATTATATACTTAAATTAAATATGTAAATTAGTTACTTGTTATTTATAGTGGTCGACATCCGTGTGGAAAATTTGGTAAAACATTAATGAATAGAATTTGCCTATCTACCTATATATAAAAAAAACAAATGTTCCCAATTTTTTACACTAATAACATTAAAAATGAAAAAAAAGTTAGCGGTTAAATGACATCCCGGCATTTAATTTAATAGCCAATGACTTGGTTCAATATCTTTCAATGACTTGCCTAGCCAAGTCATTGAAACTAAGTTGATTTGATTAGAAAGCATTTTTTTTAAATTCTAGTTGTTTTTGGCATTCGCCGGCCGCTGCTGCGGCACGCTCGCTTCGTTCGCTAGACTCATGCGTTGTGTTCACTGTTCTAACCTAACCTTTTTTGCGAGTAAGCCGTGCTGTAAACTTAAATAAAGTGCAAAACACTGAATAAAATAATTATTTTACTATTTTAAATAAAGAATTCTCAATATTAATTTATTTCATATACATATTTTCGTCACACAATTACCCTATTCTATGAAGGACCTAATCATCTGCCAACTAGTTCATTAAATGGTGTATTAGACACATTGCCTAGATATCATATCGGCCTTTTAATTAAACGGCGCCTTTCAATTAAAAAGCTAGGCCGTTAATGAAACGGCCGAATAAGCTATTTGTCTGCGACATAAAGATAACGTCGAACTCACCTTCAAGTGTGGTAGTACCATTTTCCTTCTTATAATTAACATTCTCGATGACCGTGTTCTGTCTACTGAGCTCCTCGTTGTTCTTACTGTACGGCGACCGCTTGATTGTACTGAACTTATTATCGCTGTCGTCATCATCATTCTCATTCGAACTCGAATACGATGCATCGAACATGTCGTTTTCCAGAATATTCTGTTTGATCATCGGCTCGCTTTGCTTCAAATCGATGTCTCGATAGTTCTCGTATTCGGTGAAGGGCACCGGCTCGGTTTCAGTACTGGGACTGAGATCCGATGGATCTATTATAGGCTCGTATTGTATTTGGGAAGGACTTTCTAAACTCATCTTTATTTTGTCTATGTTTTTGAGCGGACTTGTTTTTGTTTGTTCTTCGGTTGGTGGTTCGACTGATGTGGTTAGCGTGTTTGGGGTTGTGGGGGTGTTTGTGGTCGTGGGGATGTTGGGGGTGTTAGTCGGATTGGTATTGGAGGTGTTTGTCGGGGACGTGGGTGTGACGTTTGTGGGGGATTTGAGATGGCTAGGCGAGTTCGGTTGTGAGGTGTTTTGTGAGAACGTGTTTATTCTTTGAGCGATCACTGAACTGCGAACTGGTTTTTCTGGTATAGAGTTTGACCTGTAATAATAAGTAATAAAAAATATAGGTCGATTTTTATATACGTATAATGGTTCTTATATAAAATATACCACCTTTGTTAGATTAATTTAAAATTTTTAAACATAACTATAAAAACTTAATAGGAACTTAAAAAGTAATAAAAAAATAATGTCTTTTTTTAAAATAATTTTAACAAACAAGACGCCAATTTAAAAAATAGATTTCAATCTAATCAAGTAGGTAACATGTAGGAATCAGAATTCGGTTCTGGGTTTGAATCTAGTAAGTTATATTGAAATTGGCCCTATGGACAAAGCCAGTCATTATGCTGTCTCTGTTCAATGTATAATATACTAATAATAAGCTACTGATCCGATTATAAAAATTTCGCTAACAAGAAACTACATTACTGCCAAATGTTATTTTTTAATGTTGTAAAAATGCGTTTACTGTCAGACCTCATAATAACGTTAATAAAGATGTGCACCCACAGTACCTGTCTGCTCGCTTTAACATTGGCGCAATGGACAGCTCTCTATGCAAAGGTGTTTCAGCGCTGTAGAATCAGTCGCTTACGTAGTCCTGGAATGCGTAGCGGTAACTTCACAATGTAACGAAATTCTCGGACCGATGAGGTCGCTCCGCGAAGCCTGTGAAGTTCCCAGGAAGCTTCTGTGCTCTTGGACGGAGCTAGGCTAGCTGGACTAGCCCTGGATTCGCAACGTACAACGGACCGAATGCGAATATAAGTACGGAAAACAAGTCCAATATACAATACAATGCAGTACCTGTCGGCCAGCTGCCCCTGCGCCAGGTTGCGCTGGAACAGCTGCCGCGCGGCGCTGGTGCGCGCGCCGATCAGCTCACGCGCCTCCGCCGACCGCTGCCGCCGCAGCTCCTCCGCGCCCGCGCCCACCGCACCCCTGGAGGGAAAGGAGGCACACGCTATTATAGTCATTTTTCGGCATAAAAAGTACCCTATGTCCTTCCCAGGGTCTCAAACTATCTTCTTACCAAATTTCATCTAAATCTATGATATGGAAATTCGTTTCAATAATTATAATTATTTTAAAAGACTAAAAAACCTTTAACGAACTTTAATGTATTGGGAAAACCATTCAAGTGTTGCACTATCCACCATCTGACTCTAACAGATCAATCTAAAGACACCATGATGAAAATGTCATTACATCAGAGCAAATTTTTGTATGTGACAAAAGTTCTTTGCGATAAGTTAATTAAAAGTAGATAAAAATTGACTAATAACAAAATTTGATAACATGATTAGTATAAATAATGAGGCTAATAACTAATAAAATTTAAAAAACTTTTGCAAACATTTATAATCAATTATAAAGTAAGTGGTAATAACATAGTAATTACTTTGGTTGTTCAACACTAGCTCTTTTCGCCGCCTCCAACGCGTCTCTTCTTCTAACTTCTTCTTCTGCTTTTTTCTTCTCCTGAAAATAATATTCTTTATTAAAAACTAGCAACATAATCTCATTAAGATCCGGTCGTTTTCTTTTCCCACAAAATAAAATATCTTAACTATAATATTAGATTCTTAAATAGTTAAACACCCTTAAAAACTTTACTTATCCTGTTAGCCTGAAACTTTATATTATGTCGTTAAATATCCCAATAAAATCAGTTTTAAAGTCAAGAAAAATAACAATAAAAATATGCAGATAAATAATATCAATATAAAACATAAACAGTTTTGACACAACTAATCATTTCATTATACGGGAGAGACTCATTTCATCTCAGACTCATCTCTCCCGGGACCATGATTGCTGTAAAGCATTCGAAACGTCGGGAACCAATAATTAATCAAAACAAATGCGCAATGAAATCCAAAAAAAATAGTTTTATTTAATCATTTTATATTATCTCTACATTTTAACTTATATCAGGGGAAAATCTAAAAAAAAATCTTTTCTACAACACAAACCTCTTCTCTCCGTTTTCTTTCAGCTTCCACTCGTTTCTTCTCTTCTTGTTCTTCTTTCAACCAAAATTGGTCCCGTTCTTTAGAATTTATTTCTTGAACTAAAAAGAAAAATATTTATTACAATCATTTTTTAAAATGAAGCACAATATATTTCTTTTTTATTTAGAAGAGAAAAATGGTATTATGATATATAATCATACAAAAACCTACCCTTGTACGTCAAATACATGTGTATTTCCCATACAAACTAAACTTAAAAAATCTAAATGGTAGCTCAATGGTATCGTGCTTACTTGGAAAGCCAAGTAAGTGAGTGTAATTCATATCGCACCTTTGAGATTTTTATAATCGAATTATTTTCAACATCGAGCGAAAACATCCTTAGAATGCCTGCACCTCTAAGAACTTAATTAGTTTTTCAAAGACATAGAAAGTAGAATAACTCGCTCCTGGCCAGCGCAGTAAAATACGGTTTTAAAAACTACGAGATGAATACTTCTCTGTACAATAATAGCAGTATACTTGTTACGGGATTTTAAGATTCAAAATGAAAATATTTTTGAGGAAAAGGAGATTTTTTTTAGATATTCTGTTCTTATGCCGAAAATAACTTAGATAGGTTCAAAGATTTTACTATAAATTCACACCTACGCACTAAAATTTCCCCATTTACACGTATAGAGTCAACTTTAATTTCCGTTATATGATTACACCATTGTTTTATTTAGCATTTCACATGAGACACATACCTTCCAAATTTTACCTGAACGGACACTAGACAGAATAAGAAAAGGTGTGACATACATTCGGATACAATGAAATTGTAAGAAAAATATAAGTCATATGAAATAATATAATATTAGCGTCTACATATAAATAAAACAAAGTCGGGTTAGTTACACCATTTATAATTCAAGAATGGCTGGACCGATTTTTATGATCTTTGATTTGTTAGATTTGTCTCCGCCCCGAATAGCAGAGTATTAAAACATCGGATAAATTCACGAGAAAAAAATTCAAACTTACATGGCTAATGCTGACTAATAACTATTTGTCTACTTAAAACGTACCTAAGGACGAAACCGTGCGAAGCGAGGGTGAACCGCTAGTATTATATATAAAACACCTCCAGGTAAATTTCTAAGAAATTAATTAAATTTCTAAGAAATATATTGTTAACTGACACGCCGGCGTGTCCGCGGTCGTGGAGGTATTAATTATAAGAACCTCTAAACGGACAAAAGAAGAAATTAATTAGAAATAAACAATATGTTTAACACTGTTTTTAGATATACGAGCTACAATTTTAGCACAACAAAATATCATAAGTGTAAGAGCCTACCTCTCCTTAGGCTTTCCTTCCTCTGTTTAATCTCGTCACTGCCTACCCCCTGCACTACACACGGACGCAACACGTTGGTCATTTCAATGGACAAATGAACAAAATATAAACCGTATCAAGTCTGGTTCACAAATGTTGTAGGAGCGGAGAAATGTTTACATTCTCGATTAGCACACAATGCATTTTACGTTTAACACTTGTGTGGTCATTGCATTGTTATTCTAGGAATGGTAAACAATGGGACTATATTAGCTAATCTTAATTTTACATTAAAATAGTATGGGACTATATATAAGTCTATGGCTTTAGATGGTCAGACTGAAATATCGATTAAATGCAACAGACTGATTATATCGTAAAATTCTGCATTTACCAACGACCAATTAATAAAATTAGACCAAATTTATAAAAAAATATATATACACAAAATTATTTGTCCTAAAATATCTATCAAATCCGTATATGCTGTATTTGACGTATCATGCGCATCATATACTTTGCGTATATACGCAGAATTTTATCAATTGATACATTAAAGCAAAGTTTAATTACATTATATGAAATATCTATATTATCTACCTTTACAAGACAGTTGAAACTCTTGGATACAACGAGAGAAATTTTTATATTTTTCTAAAATATAAAAAAAACTACGGGTTACCAGAAAAAACTTCTAATATTGTACTCGTAAATATACATAGGTATAATACGAGTATGATGACGTTCTAAGATTCTTCTTGTAGATTAATTTTTGTCTGCTGATACCAGACAGCCTCATATTTATGCAACAAAATAAGCTACTAAAAAAGGTCTATTGTTTAACTTGTGGCTAAAAATCTGTTTCAAATGAAGAACATTTGTTTATAACACATTCATACTATAAGATCTATGTAAAAACTAAATATGTAGGTTAAGTATCCCGATATATTTATTTTCTTTATGCCCTTTTATCCGGCGATTTACGAAACAGCTGTGCGTTATAAATATTTATAAGCACGCCCTTGTTTTAGTTATTTCTACAAGTTTTAAAATAAAAAGTTGGTATAAACTAAATACAAGAATTAAAAAATCTCGTAAGCTATCTACTGAGTCTAAAGATAATAAAATCTACATAATTTCTACTGTAGAAATAGTGAAGTGAAAAATAATGTTGAAAATACGACCACATTGTTTATTACGATTATGGAAGCATATAACTGGCAACTAGCAACTTGAACAATAAGTCACTAAGAAACACCTACCTCAATTTTAAAGACTTTTCCAGACATTGGTACGAATTGAACTCCAAAACTTTAAAGATCCTTATCAGTACATAATTTTTTACTACTTTTTTACATACTTTTTTACTTTGTGGCTACGGAACCCAAAAAAAACGTAATTCATACTAATATTATGAATGTGAAACAATGAAAAGCAAGAGCATCGATAGCATCATAGGGCAGAACATGGACTACTTGTCGTTCTCGTCTTTTTAATCATGCGAATGAAACAGCGGGCAAAGATTGTCACTGCGCGCGATCTTTGAAAGACAAGTTATATAAAAGTTTCACCCTACACCATATAATATACAGCTTATAGCCCGTTTTCTTGGTCAATATTTGATCCCACAAACGGCAGTTTTAAAAAGCGAGCTAAGATTTTATAGAAACCCAAAGATTCGCACCGGAACAATGAAATCATTTAAAACAAATTTTATTTAAAAAAGTCAAATAATAATAATGCTAAGAAAAATCGACGGATAAACGATTGAAAAAAATTCATACTAAAACGTAAGTTAAAAATAAGCACGATGTTTGATAAAGTTAGAAATCAACACAATTTAATTCATAGTAATTTTAAACCAATAATCAATTAGCTGCGAGAAACGATAAATACACTACGATATCAAACAGGGACAAATTAGAAAGTTTCTAATTGAAAACTACAATATTTGATTCGAGTGTAAATCTACAATGGATACGTGTCATAGACATCGTGTTCAATATTTCATATACATATATCTATATGTACATATAAAAATAATAAAGCGAAATCTGTACATAAGTATTTTTTAAAACCAATGACTGCTACCTATTGTGTACAGAATATGGACCCCATAACAATAGTTATTGAAATTTTTCTGTTTGTTTATCTGTTTATCCGTGCGCATTTCACGCAAGAAGTACTAAAAAAAAATCTGTAATAAAAGGTACCCTAAATATTGACCCGAGTAATAAGTTATCACTACACAAAATTTATTTATTTAAAATGGGTTCAGTACTCTTTGCGTGAAACGCTCACATCGATTTCGCTAAGTTAGTTTCTTTTATTACATATATGTATAGACTAACGACTCATCCTCACTTCGTTCGGGTTCGTCCCTGGTGATTCTTTAAATTGACATAACTTTTTTAATTATGAATCAATAAAAATAAAACAAATTCCAAATATTAAGTGAAGCTTACCAACATACATTAGTGAAAACCGCATCCAAATCGGTTAAGCCGTTTCTGAGATCACCGCGCACAAACGCTCAGACAAAGAGACAAAAACCCAAAAAATCATTGTTTTGCTTAATAAAGACCTCAAACAATAGTTTTTCACAAATATCTTCCATGTACAGACAGCGATCAGCCACAATTTTATTTATAAGTACAGATATCAATACCAACCAATACAGAGATCTCATAATGGGACAAATAGTATAAATGCGAAAGTTTGTGTATATTATTATGTTAGTTAATGTATCAACAACAACCTAGGGATACAAAAGAAACAATGGTGAGTCACTAGTATTAAATAAGTACATAATTACCTGGATTAACTTTCTTATACGACGTGCCTACTGGTCCACTTGGTGGGAGTTCCTCGTGCCTACTCGACTTAAAGTTGAATGCTGAACCAGTTTTAGCCAATTTATCCAAAAGAAGTCTCTCATCTAAATCATCCTCGGTTCTCGCGTGCATCGTCATGTGGAAACCGGTGAAGAACTGTGACACTTGCTTGATGTGGTTTGCACATGTGCCTTTCCGCACTGTTGGGGCACCCTCACCCTGTGTAATGTAATGTGATGTAAAGACGACTCATTTTCCGCACTTATTCTAGTTTTAAAGAAGATATATTAATATAATATATGTACCTTACTAATGTAATGGTATAATTATAATAAAATGTCCTTGTATATAGACAATATTTTGACAGACTGCAAAAAGGAGGATGCTTAGCTTGTAATTTTTTTTTGGATAAGTTACTGGACATCTTCATCAATTGTTCATGGTAAAATGTGGAAGTTTTTCAAAAGAATTATATTAAAGTATTATTATTATTCTTGGACATATTGTTGATAATGATACAGCAACAATCAGTGTTAGCTAAACAATATATAAAAAAACTGCTCCATTTGTATGAAACACACCTAACATAAACCTACTATTAATAAACATAACACCAGAACAACAAATGATTTTCACAGACATCATTCTTAGATACAAAATAATTAAATATTTACAATAGCTTAGAAATAAACATAATGTCTTAGAAACATTATTTTATTACTTACTTGCCAGTTAATAAGCACATATTTTGATATACTGCCATCTGGTAAGTCAACCTTTATAAAGGCATATTGAATTTTACCACTGTTGAATTCATCTATAAGCTCGATAAGTCCTCCATCACCCTTGCTGATGTATTTCAGATCATTTGTCAGCCCGTCATAACCAAATAAAGCCCTTAAAAAATTAAAAGTTTTCAGCAATAGATACTTACAGTATTTTTTTTTTATTTTATTAATTCTATTTCATGTTATTGAATATTTTAATTATCTCGAAATATAAATCTTTCTATTATATTTTGTATATTTTATTTTAATGTCAAAAAAATGTGTTATGTTTAAACATTGAAAATACTTTTAAGGCTAAGTATGTGCATTAATTGTTCAATTAAACGGAATATAAATATTAATTTTTATATCAATAATTTTAGGACATATTTCATATGTGCAATTTTCCTAAATAACAAGCTTATCAAAGTGTACAAGAAAATTAATGAATGATATTTTTTCTTTCAATTAAGCTCACTGCAACTTTTCACTATTATAGTATTATGATAGAAGTTAATAACAACCAAGTCAATTATGATATGATAAATACTTCATAAATTACACAATAATTGATATGTATAAACAATAAGTAAGATTATTATGCCAGAAATAGCTATGTTATAAGCAATTTATAATGATATCTGTTAAAGTTCAAGTGAAAGTAATTGTTTTAACATGAAAAGTGCTTTGCATTTATTTTAAAATACCTTACACTTGACTAGTTTCAAATGGTATTAAGTACAATTTATTATAATTTATAATAACGTTGTTTTGATATTTTTGTATAGAAACTAAATTATTGCGGCATTAATTATGTCACATGCAAATCTTTTTTTTATTAATATGTACTTACTAACTATAATTATCTTTTGATTGAAAGGCAAGAAATACGCGTGACTATCGCAATGATAAATATTTGACATGCACAGAGGAGAAAGCTTGTTGTACCTTAGAGCCATTACTACGCAAGAAATATTAATTATGCCACGTAATACATTACATCCGTATCTATAATAAGGGATGTTTATTTAATTTTACTATTATGTAGGCCGAAATAGTGGAGCATCACTTACCAATTAGTCTCCGATTTTTCATCTAAAACATCTTTCCACGCGGCTACAAGGTCTTGTTTATGTTTTTCTAAATTTATAGCCATTTTTCATGCTTTGTACTAATCTGCAAAGTACTTAAACGGCGGAATTCCCAGTAAAATGTAAAACGCCGATGGGCAAACTGACTCACAACAATCCTTTACACAGATAATAATTATGAAGTTCATTCAACTGTCAAAGGAAGAGACAACTTGAACTTGTAGTGTTTTAATGATAGACAATAGAATTTTTAGTGAAAGAAGTTTATTGATATTCATTTAAAAAAATGTTAACAATTTTAAAAAATCAGTTTGTAGCTTGTCTTAAATGTTACCTTTCAAAAGCTGATCATATTAAAATACCAAAACGAGGAGAGTTAGAAAGTTAGAAGCGCCTGTCAATATAGCAGAGCAACAATAATCATAGCGCATAAAAATTATTGCTCTACTATTTTTACTAATATTTATAAACATAATATTATTGATGTTGCACCAAAATTTTAAAGAGTATAATATAAAGTAGCAATTTAACATAATTAATAATAAAAAATGTTTATTTTTAACTTAGTTTCTTATATCTTTTTCATGCGTGCGCAAACTTTTTAACGCATGCCCTAAGCCTTCTGCCTTAGGCGCTATTTGTCCACGCTCTAGTCACGACAAACATCTCCTAGTGGATTAACGCCGCGAACTCCGCTATGTACCTATTGTTTACGATCATATATTAATATAAACAAAGTTTTTAAAAATATGTGGGTGGACGTTACAGCACGAGAGAGACAAAATTATACTTCACAAGCAAACAGCTGTTTTATCCCTGGGTAAGTGGGTAGCTAAATATTAAAACTATCTTGAAAACCCGGAAAACACATAGCGTGCATGATTTTATTACAGCCTTTATAAGATAAATATTTATGATATGTAATTTGAATAATGTTTTAGAGTTTATTACTTAATTTTCATTTAATTTCGATTGTAAACAAAATAGATCGTTGTTAACAATATGAATGAGTTTATTTCTTAAAAGTAATTTAATGTTTTTTAAATAATTATGTTTTATTTTAAAACATAAATAATATTAAAATTATAAAACATTGAATGAATTTAAAAAAAAAACATTTTATACTTTACTGTCCTCTGTCAGTTTGTTGGTACTCCTTTACAAGCAGTAGGTATTTTACAACCAAACTGGACAAAACGTCGCTGAGTCGCAATTTTTGATTGTAGGTATAGGTACTTCTTGCAAAATGGGATAAAATGGGGGCTACTCGATATGTCCGCCATAAAGAGATCCGATTTGGTAGATACGAAAGGTAGTAACTTTAAATTCTTCTTCTATCATTCATTCTTCTGATGAGGATCTTCGGCAACATGACCAGATTAGCTCCTATAAATGCAGTAAATTGCTCACAGAACTTTAGTGGTATATTTATTGTTCCAAAAAAGTTTGTACGAGATCTACTGTTCGCTGAACTAAGTAGGTACTATTTATATTATAGTCATTGACTAAAAACTTCTTTATTTTGACGTGTAGAGAAGCCCTTGCAGGCTTTAAAGTAGGCTAGTAATTTTAAAATCACCATTAGTTCAAGGTTTGTGTTGAAAAGTATACTTTGAAGTTGCCCTTTTGTCAGCTATCTAATAGATTAAACTTATCAATTCAATGTTTATTTTTTTACTACAAAATCCTCTAATTCATACCTACCTAATTAATAGACTGGAATAAATTAGTTCTTTTTCGTAAGTAATGATATTATATCTAGGTACATAGACGATAACAATGAGTAAAATATTTTCTTAATTTTACAGACAGCTATTAAATTGATATAAATCGATATTAAAATACTTTAGTTTTTAATTTGATTCATTTATTCATATTTATTACTCACTAGAGACTTACCCTGGCTTCGCTTGGATTCGTCCCAAGGTTGCTTCCCCATGCAAACTTTCATCCACATTTTCACCCCCTTAAGGGATGATTTTCGGGATAAAAACTATCCTATGTCGTTCCCATAGTCTCAATCTATGTTCTTCTTGCCAAATTTCATCTAAATTGGTTCAGTAATTTCGGAGCCTATTCGGTACACATAAACAAACAAACAAATCTTTTCTCTTTGTAATATTAAGTACCTATAGATTAAAATAACTACAATATGACATTGAATTGAATGATTGATCTAATTATTGCCTTACTACAGTTAGTTTGTCATAGTCTTCGATTAAAGACCCTGACTTTTACCTATTTTTTCTTAAGTCTTCTGCAAATTTTATAATTGTAATGAAACTTTTTTCTATTTTATGATAAGCTAATAAGAAAAATGTAATATTTTTCGTCAAAATATTGCTCTTAAAATTGCTTTTATAAAATTTTACTTCAAAATACTAAAGAACACACCTTTATAACTAACTGTAAAATGAATCCAATATGATCAACAAGTCACGTAAAAACAAATTAAAAAAGCAAAAATTCGACTACTAACAATAGTTTAATCCCAAACCTGAATTAACTTCTCCATAAGATAAGCTCAATGTCACCATAATAATTATATTCTCATCCCGATTACGTAAATATGTTCCTATTTTTAGAAGTTGAGAGTTGCATCGATTTTACCGCTACGATATCTAACAAAAGGAACTTAAAATATCTTCTTAGATTTATTCTCATTTACACTAAGTTTGTTTGTATGTATTTACAAAACAGTCTAAAACCATTTTAAATTACTACCTTTAATATTGGTTTTATAACAAATATACGAAGCACTGAGTAGATATTCATATAGGTACCTACCGATACGCTTAAAATCTCAGAACTTGCTAATTAAACATTAACAATGACTTTTCACTTGCTTGATCGTTCATTGTTTATCTCACTGTATTCAGTCCTTTTTCCGTCCCACTGCTGAGCACGTGCCTCCTTTCAATACGAGGGGGATTAGTCTACCACGCTAACCAAGTGCGAGATGGCGAATTTCACATATCTCGAAAACTTGCAAGGTTTTCTCAGACATACACAGAGATTTCCTCGCGGTGTTTTCCTTCGCCTTAAGATAAGTTGTAATCTTGTTGAAAATGATTCGCATATGAAAATATCAAAGAAGCGAGACCCGGGATTTGAACCCGCTTCACTCGGTTTCCCAAGCGAGCACGTTACCACTAGGCTACCACTGCCTAAGAAACTCATCTCACTGATCCTTCATATTACAATATCTTATATTAATTATAACTCTAACAATACTACGTTCTATGCGTCTATTAATTAAACAAAAGTTTGTACCATTACAGTATATTGGTATATTATTCCATTGGGTCTTTTATGTAGAGATAAAATATTACAAGAGAATATAAATTTATGATCTTTATGACCCAAGCTGAAGTCATGGCCAAAGCGTAGCGAGAGGGATTGCATTCTTCAAAATAACCATAGTAATATTATAAATGTGAAAGTGTATTTGTTTGTTTGTCTTTCTTTCACGTCGAAACGGCTTGGCGGATTGGCGTGATTTTTTGTGTGGAAATAGTTGGAGGGCTGGAGAGTGACATAGGCTACTTTTTACCGGGAGATTATCTCTTTCCCACGGGAAAACACGTAATAATACAATCCAAAAAATATCAGAGATCAGAATTACTTAAAACTTGGTATTAATACTCTTCAATACAATTAATTAAATACGTGTTTTATCATTTTTTGAAGTTCATCCCATGAGGGGTAAAATAGCGGATGGAATTTTGTATGAAACCTACCATTTTAGAGTTTTTTTTGTAGTTTGAGCGCAAACGAAGCCGCGGGTTCTGCTAGTATATAATATAATTTCGATAGATTTTTCCATCCATTAGATTTCCGTTACACCTAGGTATGCTCGTAACCCCACCGGATAACATTAGGCATACGATTTTCACGAAATAACATTGTAATCGTGACTATATCGAATCTCTAACAATGTTTGCTTACTCAGCGAGAATAAATACCTACTTATATAAAAAATTTGTATCAGAGGCGTTGTTGTTAATGGTTTTTCTAACTCATTTGAACTTTTCTATAAAGTATTTTATCTAACTATAATATAAATCATTTTCTCTATGATACCTACAGTAATATTTTTCTTAAAATTTTGAATTATATTCAGTAGAAGTAGATACTTATTTTCATTAGAAAGTGGAAGGGTTCTTAGTTCTTACAACATTCTCAGAACATGAATTTATAAGTTGTATTTACTTTATATAGAGGTATTACTAATTCCTAAACTTCCTAATGTTTTGAGCTTTAGGTACATGATATGAACACACGTAGAACCCAAGAAGTAGGGCGTTTTAGTACCTACGCGCGTGTTCTGCGCGTTCTAATATAAAGCGATCATGTTTGAGAATGCCTAGAGCCTACTACCTTACCTTACCTACTTGTGGCAGAACTAGATCAACGTCTCAACAGACGATAAAGTACTTAGAACCATCAATGCTAATTTTTAGAAGTACTCGTAGGTAGTACCTACTGTAGCCAATAAGGAAATGTAATCACTACAAACATCTTTGGATATGATTTATACAGATAAATAAAATTGAAGTGTCTGATTAGTAAATGCATATGAAAGTATATACGGTAATAATAAGGAAAAACAATTTTCAAAAATGTTGTCTGTCTGTCTGTTTGTTCCGGCTAATCTCCGAAACGGCTGGACCGATTTTGACGGAACTTTCACTGGCAGATACCTGATGCCATTAGGAGTAACTTAGTTTACTTTTATTTTAAAAAGTGAATCAGGGTTTCGCGCAAAAAAATTATAACCCATGAAATTGTGAACAAAACCCGGGCACTCGAGCGAAACGAGGGTAAGTCGCTAGTTATCCAATAAAACTTCGGTATACATTGTAAACATTTAATTTAAAATATCAACAGATAGAAAGATTAAAATATTATAAAACTGTTCAAGTGTTTGACTTCTTAAGTTTTATTACAATCAAAAAAATCCGAAATTCGCAGTACTTATTGAACTTAAAAGACAGGAACTTTTACAGACATATGTACTTAAGTACTAATTATATTTTAAATACTTAAGCATCAAATTGCACAC